TCTCTCCCTTTTCTGGTGGATTCAACAGGTCACCAGTGTATGATATTGCACCAGACTGGGCTGTTCTCCACTCCATCATTTCTGTGGAAAAATCGTCGCAATTTCCGAGGTCCGTGAAGCCTACGATGTGGTCTTTTGTCTTGTTGTCTGAGATGAGGGCTATCGTGGGAATTATTTTGATCCTCAAACGCTCTGGAACCAAATAATCAGTTCGTTCAAAAAATGCACGTATCTGAGTCGAAGTGCATGACCATGACGAAGGCACATTATGGAAATAGCTTTAAGAAAACTTGGGCGGCGAAAGGTGTTCACTGCTGGATAACCCCCTGTTGACGATTTCGGTTTCCTCTTAAGCTCTCGCATTTTGTCTACGTTCACCTTTCGTAAATGCATTATCTTTCTTCGGGTCAAGAATTGATCCAGGAATTCATCGACTTCTGTATCTCCCGATAAGAATTTTTCAGCTATTTTCTCGACACGAAGGAGAATACAAATAAAAATCACAATTATCATTTGATAATTGTTTATATAATTGCGTTAATAATTAGTTCCGATTCTTTTTCAATTTCAGCAGCAGCTTACAGCCTTTCTCAGACAGTTCATATAATGCTTTTTTATTCTCCTCGAGTTGGGATTGCTTTGCTAGATTGACTTCGGCCAGAGAACGATTTCCAGCGATCAGAACTTCCTTTTCAGATTCCAATTCTTTAAATTAGAAAACCTCATGAAAAGTAAGTAAGTCGCATATCTAATAATAAGACAAGAAAATAATAAGACAACCGCCTTATTATCCATTTATTGTCATCGATTAAATAATTCACCTGTTTTATGTCATTGACAACTTCCTCGAATCTTCCATCATCGTTCAATATTTCTCCCAAATCAGTGTTGCTGAGATGATTCAACATCGACAATGCAGCTAGAATATCCATAGAAATTGATGAATTTATTATTAATTCATTATTATTTATTATTAATAAATCATGGTTCTTTTTTGATTCCAGTGTGGATTAGGCCTACAGGGGATACCACGTTAAAAAAAACGCGTCAAGGGCTCTACCTCTTGGGTGACGTGGAAAGAGTTTCACTCTAATTACTTGATTTATCAAAAAATAGTCAATACCGGGGAAGAATCTCTCGTATTGAAATAATCATATACCCATTGTTCATTTATGCTTTTGTCGATAATTTTTATGCCATGCCTTTTTTTTCATGTCAATTTGAAAGAAAAAAAATCAAACGACTCGACTTGCATTCAAATGTAAACTCCAGAAATCGCTGAATTGTGGGGACGAAACGCACATGAGGAGAAGGCGTTATACAGCCCTACGTACGACGTCTGAAGGTACTTGTCCCCTGTTTTGGTGTCGGCGACATCAAAGCTTGGCAATACCTCCTTCCATCATACCTTAGACACCCCCATTGCGTGTGGCGACCTCCCTCTCTTGAGGTGCAGTACTATGATGCCGCTGGAGTCACTTAACCCCCCAGAACTGACCCTCTACTTTAGTCAATCCTCTTTGGTGCTCACCGCCAATTTTAACTGCCAGTGGATCGTAACGAATTCCACAAAAATACCTGACTCACACCGAGTTTTCTTCAGGACTGTCATAGATTCAGAAATGTCAGGCATTAAAATCGACGTCGAGTACTGGTGAGCAAAAGAACCCTCTAAATCTTCCATTAGATTTTTTCGTGGCCTTCTAACCTCGAAAATGAATCTATTTTTTTGAATTTTTGGACTTTGTGTACTGCCAGTGGCTCGTGTGGTCACCGAAAACAGTTTCTGGAACTGGCAGGAGTTATCAAAGATGCCTGTCCTGATTGTGTAATTAGTGGGGCTACTGGAAGACAAGGTAGCCCTGAGTGCATCCATAACTTCATAATTCCTCATGAAAATCGAGTGGAGACAATCCATCAAATTTTCTTATAAAATGCTAACGATGTTTCACACTCGATATAGCTCAAATCCACGTTTTTAATTACTCTTTATTTAACAATTATCGATGGAAATTGATGTAAAAAAAATATAACCTTTTTGCATTTTGTTATTATTTAATGGCTCACAAAGTTTTGGGATGGTGCGATCATTTTCATGCATTTTCTCTACAGTTTTTCGATTCTTTTCAAAAGTTTACAAAATACTAAATATTCGCAGCACCTTGAAACTTCGAGAGTCGTTAAATAATGATTAAATGCAAAAACGTTATATTTCTTCACGTCAATCTCTTCGTAAGTTTGCCAGACAAATGAAAAAAATGTGAAATTTGACGGAAAGGGTGTAGAACATTCTTAAATCGAGAGAATTTTCCTTTTCAGGTTCATTCGAGGTAAAGATCAACGATAGCCTGGTATATTCAAAACTGCAGACAATGGCGTTTCCAATCTACAACGAGGTATTAAATGTAGTGAAGGAAGTTTCCGAAGGCCAACCAGTGAGGCAGATAACTCAGCAACAACCAATAGATTGTTCAATTAGTTGAAGGTCCTAGGTAAGCCACACTCCCCCCAATGTAAGAATTAAATCGTTAAACACGTACAAATTTACCTTAAAACTTTATTCAATAACACAGTTTTAGAAAAACCTGTAAAATACGATTAGAAATATACAATAGAGATTCTAAGACCAGTGAAAAAAAACACCAATCACATGCAAATTACATGGTCCCCAATTTTTACCTTCCCAGAGGTAGAGTTCGTTCTACTGAGATAAATCCCAAATTTCATTTTCCCTTGAAATTCTTCGGCTAGCAATCGAAGAGGCTCGATTGTTTTTAACCCAGTTTGTTGATCAATACATACCATTTGGCACCTGGTGCAGGGTCCCATTACCTACAAATATTCCTAAATTAATAAACGCGCAAATTACCGGTGGATTATTATTAGCAGAAGTTTTGAAAACGGTAGAATCCTTCTCTTCAAAATTTCCTCACCTCGAAGACATGTTCCCCAACCCTAATATGAGTCCACTGTTCCTCCTCGAAGGGTTCAGCTCCCAGGACAATGAGATTCCCCCTGAATCTATGTAGGACCCCATTCTTATCGCAATCAGATTCCTCAGGGATTCTATCAACGAGCCACTCCACACTGGCCCTATTAACAAGCAGAAACTGTGCCTGACTGGAGAATGAGAGCTCTAGTCTGCTTCTTCCCCTGATCTCCTGAGTTCTGCTCTGACGAATCAGCCTGAGATCTCTGCCAAGAGCTAGTCCGAGCCACTGAGCAACCTCCTCACCACAATCAACACCCTGGACCCTGTGCCCACAGATTCTACTCCTGCACAACTCCCCATGCGTTATGTCGTCCTCCCGGTACTCCAAAGGCAACTCAATTCCAGGAATCCCTGCAAAAATTTCAATTCTCCCGCAGTCTTTGCTTATTCAAACTCCCAAAACATAATTTAACAACACTACCTGGATAATCTAGCCTCATTAACATGCTCTGGAGACACAAGCTCGGTTTTATCAAGCAGAGATTGACCTCCTGTTTCTGGGTGAGGCAGACCCCTGAAGAATTCACAATCATCCACTCACGATCGTAGGAGAGGCCCTTTCCAGTCAGCTCCCAAGAGTCCAAGATTTCGAAAGCTGCGCAGGACTTCACAGGGTAAATATAAAGCTTCGAAAGAACTAATTTCTTCGACTCCATCTCATTCCTCTCCATCATCTCGTTCTTATTAAACCCATTTCCCGGGGATAAATTTATCAATGAATCCTGAGTAATCCCAGTAGGGCTCCTCTGCACTCTCAATTTCTCGATTTCGGTCCCTCCCTTCGTCTTGTAATTTACATTCCCGCGGCTGTAAATGTAATTCTCAGGGATCACATATCCCTCAGGAAGTTTAACCACTGCAGGTCCGTCTAGAAAGCATTTTTTAAGCATCAACAGCAGCATCTCGGCATCGTTGAAACTAGAAGAGTAACCGAATGACACTCTGACAGCACCAGTGGGTCTTCCATCGATCAAATCCTTGCTTCCTCCGCACTTGTATCCCGCGTCATAGTTCTGGAGTACGTCGTCGTTGGAGAGGTTTAGGTGGCGTTGACAGGCCCCTGGGTTGCAGAAACACCCTGTGCGCAAGTGGATCTTAAAGAGTCCAGCCATGTGGAGAATCTCCATGTAGCCAACATATGCACCACTAGATCGGAGGATGTTGAAGGCCACGGTGCCACCTTGCGTTGATATTTCCTGGTAATCGGTATCCGCATAGATTATCGCCAGGCGTTTACTGTTTCGGTGGTGCAGTGTTACCAGGGAGTGGTGGAGGTACTGTGCCAGATGGAAGACGTGGGTAGATATCCGAGTGAGGGGAATCCTAGAAAAGATATCCAGCCCGTACTGCAGGGAGATTATCGATAGGAAGGGTACAGTTCCATCCTCGAATCTGAAAGGTCAAGGATTCGTTGATTATAGTCAAAAAAAGCACGTTGGTTGTTTGTTTATTTATTTTTATTATTATTTGTCAAGATTAAAAAGAATAAAAAAATAATGATTTTTAGGTCAGCATGTACTTATCGAATGTAAATATACCGAAAGTTATCAGATTTGTATTGATTCTTATGAGACACCAATGATGAAATTACCAATTTCAGTGGAATAATAATAGAATTAAAAATGTTAGCAATATAATTAGTGATAATTGCATCTACATATATTCACCTTGCGAGAATAATTCTAAAAATTATCCTTCTCCAATTCTGGATATTAAATCTCCTAAAAGCCAAGACTTCATTTGACGAGAAGAGAAAATTGAGAAGAAAAAGCTCTTAATGACTCACGAATAAATAGCGAAAAATAACCGGACATTTCTCCTCAAGAGTAACTACCATAGTTGATAAATAAAAAATTCATAGAATCATTTCAATTGAAATCTAAGTTATTTCAATTGAAATGATTATAATTGATCTAGTCATGATTGTATGGAGATAATGATACGTAGAATTGTCTATGCTGTACCTTTCATGAAGATTTTCTCGTTTGACGTGAAAATTCGTGTTGCTGAGCGCCATATTAACAGTGCCACCTCCGTAATACACTTTCTCCATGACATTCTCACTGGAATTTCTCACAATAAGTGCACCAATGCCAGTTGGCCACCCGAACATTTTGTAGAAGGACATGGCAACGAAATCAGGTTTGTGCAGCGATAAATCGAGAGCACTAGTTCCAACGAATCCAGCTGCATCCAGCAAGACATACCATTTAGATTGTTCATCAGTGAGAGAATTGAGTGTCCCTTTGTGAGTTTCCTGGATCCATTCCAGTGGATATTTCAGTCCCGAGAAGTTACACTGGGCAGGATAAACGAACAGAGAATTACTTCTGCTCTCGATAACATCTGGAATACTTTCGTCACTCTGGAATCTCTCGAAAGCTTCATGGAATCCTAGACACTTTATTCGTCCCCCGTTTTTCATTGTGACATCGCGCATTCCGAGGACAGACGTGTGGTTGTTTTCGAGGTAAACGAAGTGGCCAGAATCACCGAAATTGAAGGTTTCTGCAACGGTTTTCAAGGAACCAGTGGTCCCCGATGTGAAGATCAAACTGTATTCCTCGGAGGAGGCATTGAAGAAGTCCAAAATCCTAGACCATTCATGGATTAGCAGGAAAAATATAACCGAGAGGTAAAGGGAACCAAGTCACACCAGTTGATGGGTTTTCAAGGAATATCTCTGAATTCAAAACAGATTGCGCAATTTCGCTCAAGACCTCTCTTGAAAAGTAAATCTCTCAAATTCAGAGATATTCCCCAAATACGTACTCAAAAAATCTATTCAAAAGAATATCACCCTTAAATTTTATTGAAAAAGTATGAAAATGTTTTAGAAAATTTCTGTCATTCCATTTTTAATTTGATTATTATTTATTATTTATTTATTATTTATTATTATTATTTCTGTAAACAATATTCATGTATCCATTCAAAACACAGTGCAATTGAAATAGCAAATTTGGAATTAATTATTTCTGCCGACTTGAATATGACCAAAATGAGTTTCACCAATTTCAAAACAAATCATTGAGAATTACTCTCTCCAATTACTTTGAGTTATTATCCAATCGACTTGCTATCCTTTACCTAACGCGTAAGAAGGCTAGATAGATTGAAATAGACTAGAGTAGTCTAGAAAGTATTTAAACTTCTACAAACCTGTATCTAGTTCGTTCAATAATTTCTGAAGTGAAATTTCCAGCGGCCGAATGGGGATTGGCGTACAACGAACTCGCCAAATCCTGGGAAATCCTCTTAATCTGACTGTCGGCGTACAAAGTGGCACCAGCATGATCCAAGTAAAATTCTCCATCAGTTCTAGCGAATTCCTTGGTCAACCACAGAAGTATCTCCTCGTCATATGTCTCCTTGTAGTTTGGGTGAAGTACGTGTTCCATTCTCGAGTGCCTGCTCTCCGCATACTGCCGGACAGGTTCTAGTTGTGTAACTGTCACTGAATTAATGGCTTACAAACGAGGGACTTGATAACAATGCAACAAACAACTTACATTACTCAGAATGAACAGACCATTCACGTGGAGTTAATCATCAATGTGACAAACAACACTCGAGGAGTTTACGTAAACGATTTCTATACGAGCTTATCAAATCGTAGTTATAAAAGTAGGAGGGAAACTATCGAGAAACTTGTTATGATTCGATAAGGAGATACGGCGCATGGAGGTTTAACCTTAAAATATTATCGTGAGATGATAAGTCCGGAGAATCCACTGTTAAAAAATTTTTGCTGAGTTCACCGGAGAACGTATTTTATTCAATACGGTATCAATTCAATTATGTCTAACTTCAATGGGAAATATTTGATATTTTCAGTGTAATTTCGAATTAGAACGTTTTATTATTAGATGTAGAGAATTTTTTACGATTTATTTGAGACCTCCGTAAATATAATTATTTTGGAAACTTTAATAAGCATGGGAGGGTGGGGTAATATGGGCATGTCACGAAAATTAATATTTTTTGTTTCTCTATTTGTTTTCCTTATAATTCTTAAAACTATCTGGGATGAAATTTAAAAATGGATATTTGGTTTTTTGGGAATCCGTGAATAGTCATGTTTTTTTTTGATAATTCGGACGGGGTGCCAGATCAAATATCGAAATTCCCGAGGATTAGAAGCGATTATTAGAATGAAAAAGTATTAGCCAAGTGGTAAGATGAGATAATTTAATTCGGTCGTGAAATGGTGAAGGGTTTTTCATGAATATCTCTGAATTTAAGATAAAATAGCGAAATTCATTTAGCCACTTTCATTTATCACTTCACTGGCCTCGATTTGAGAATGAATTATCCGTGAATATCTCCATGTCGAAGGGATTTGGCAGAATTTTCATGATTGAAAAGAAACAAAGGTGTCCTTTATTCCTTTACTCCTTTTTGACGTTATCTGAAATGAAATTGTGGACATCCATGAATGAATTGTCAAATTGAATTCAATATTAGAATTTTTTGTATTTCCCTCCAATTTTATCCGAGTAATTGATCTGGAATTTACTTGCCAGGGATTATTCTCCGACATTAGCAACAGAATAATTCTGCTAAAAATGTAGTGAAAATGTGACTTGTCATTTAATTTTCAATGAAAAATTTTGAACAATGAATTTCGACGGCTCAATAGACAGTGTAAATGTATTTTTGGGATTAGTTGTTGTCGTTTTTTATGCGAATTATTGAGAAAGTTGAGGTCATGTTATTGAGGGTGCTATCAAAAAGGATGATTCCAAGTGACGAGGTGGCCGAGTGGTTAAGGCGTTGGACTGCTAATCCAATGTGCTCTGCACGCGTGGGTTCGAATCCCATCCTCGTCGATGCTTTTTTGTCTTTTTGGGTGGCTTTGTCCCGGATTTATTTAGAATGAATCAGAATTCCTGATGATTTTGTGTGGATGAGGTATTTAGGAGTATTTTAGATGGGACTTAGGAGTTGTTATGAATAGAACATGTGGAGGAAGTGGCGGGTGAATTCCACCTTCGCTGATGTTTTTTTGTCCATCCTCAGGGCTTTGTTTAGGGGTTATTTAGGATGTGTCAAAATTCCTGTTGCATGGGTGTGTGGATAGGGTGTTTAGGAGTACTTTAGGAGTGCGGGGTTGGTATGAATAGAGTGGATCATGAAGGAGTAGCCGAGGAGGTAGAGGAGCTGGAGTGGTATCAAAGGGTCTCCTGGAAGAGGAAGTACGGTGATCTTCTGGGAAGGGCCATGAGAGACCCAAGGATCGAGGAGGACGTTGAGGAATTTCCTATCGTGAGGAAATCCGTGGGGTCTATCAGGATTCCTGGATTTTGGGACCGCACGTCTTCCTGGGAGGCAGACAAATTCGATCATTCAACTGGAGAAGTTCTGGAGAGTGAAAGAGTTGGTCCATGGCATCTACTCGATGTCACGCCGACTTCGATCGAGGAAATTGCAGATCAGTGGATTTTAGAGAGGATTGCTGAGGAGGGTATCAAGCAGGTAACCGTCAGCAAAATCCAGAAGGTTAGACAGGCCATCTTCAAGTTTATGAAAAAACGAATCGGTCAGAAAGCGATGAAGAAGGAGATTGATATCCAATCAGAAATATTTCCTGAGAGAGAATTTCAAGAGTTGTGTCGAAAGTTTAGACAGACTGGAAATAAGGAAGAACAGACTGTACATTGGAAATCAGAAGAGTCAATCAACAACTCTGTGATGCTCTCGAATGAATTGGCTTTACAAGTATCAACGTCCAATTTTACTCCCGAGGTCAAATCATCAGAGATCAGAAGTGTTGAGAGCTTGGATCAGTCTAAACAAATTTCTGAATTTAGTGGGAGCCAGGATTTATTATCCAATGTTACTATTCTTGAAGAAGATTCGAGTGATCTAGATGAAAGATTCAGAATTACGCAGGTTTTATCGGATTTTTCGTTGCAGAAGCGAGTATTGATTCCTGATGAATGCATTTCGTGAATTCGCTGATACTTTTGTCCCGTTATTCTACGTAAATAAAGTTATCTGTATAAATTTATTCGCAAATTGTTGTAGTCTTTACTGCGTTCATTATTATTTTTTATTATTTTGAGATATTTATGGTGCAAAAGAAAAAAACAACACTCCATAGGAGTGCAGGCCCCGGGGGGATTCGAACCCCCGATCTCCTGTTTACTAGACAGGCGCTTTAACCAACTAAGCCACGGCGCCAGATTGTAAATTCCGTCCTAGAAATCTAATCCCACGTTCCGGGTCATACCGCCAGTTAAAAAAATACACTTTTCCGCCGACACGCAAGTGCACTATTCCCAAATCACAAAAATTCACTTATTTTTGAGTCAACTGAGAAAACAGTCGAATAAAAATACCAATTTAATAATAATAACTTATTCGATTGTACTCCTATATAGTATGACACGATTTATTGTCTTATTATGGCATAATTCGTTATGACTCGTTTTATTCCAACAAAAATTCATCACACCTCATTTTATCATAGTAAAACTCATCAGGAAATAATTACAACAAAAACAAAAATAGCATATAACTGAATCAGACATTACATAGTCACAATTGCAAATAAACGAAACAAATACAATTGAAATTCCCAGATGGAAATGCGGTGGAAAAGAAAGCATATGAGTAACACAAAAATTAATATATTGATTCTCCGTTTGGCAAACGTCAAGCAGACTCAAATGAATGAAATCGTAGTCTTTAAATTAAAATTTTTAATTTTTGTAATTAATTAGCTATGTGTTAGATAAGGCTCTAAGGATTCACCCCTACGATAAATAATGCTTGAATTATCCCGGCGATGAATAATATTATAATGACATATCACTGTAAAAAGTTTTTGTAATAAAATGTAACGTGATAATACCTGAGAGTGATAAGTAGAGGCGATACCACTTTGTTCTTATTCGTTCCTGTTCTCGGCAGTTAAAAGTTCAATTGTAAGTGGTTTATTACACTTGTCAAAGGTGGTTTGTTTTTCTTTTTCCATTAAGTATTGATGGATGAAGTGGGTACATCCAATTCTGGGTTTGTTTGTCTCATATTTCTTTCTTGAGAAGGAAAATTCGGTTATTGCTCAAGTGTTACCTCTTATTTTGTGTAATTTTGGGATTACTTACACTTTCCTTGAGTATTAATTGATCGGAGCAATGGTTGATTCTAAAGAGAAATATGGAATTAGCTTTTTTTATTGAAAATAGATGTGTCGAGCTCCTCGAATCCTAGAGTCAATGAATATTCCGTATTGGTTCTTCTGATTTGGTATCTGGAAATTGGTACTGCATCCTTTCCATATCCGAAAATTCGGAAATCAGTATGAGACGAAATTATTCGGGCTCTTGTAATGGGATTTTCTCACACTTGTGGATGGCGAATCCTCGACTTCGGTTCGAAAGTCAATTCCAACAATAAAAAAATGGTTAAATAAAAAACGTCAATTCCACTCGAGTACAGAAAACCCCATCCCAACAGCCCGGAATATCCTACGGTTTGATTCCCCACACCCGATTGTTTTTGTCTCTTATACTCAATAATCATTAACCAAATTCTACCCGAATATCCAAGAGCTGGTACCAAAGTGGATGGGCATCCAAAACGGACATTCCCAAAGCTAGGCGCGTGATTTTTGAGACCTTACAAAAAAAGATTTTTGTGAAAATTCGTCCATCACGAAAAACGCTTGACTAATTGGTCCGAAATTTCGCTCGGATAAGCTCTCAAATAATACCGATTATTTCACAAAATTTCAGATTATCAACTTGAACTTGACTCTTTTTTTTTATAAATTATTTGTTTTTGAGAATGAGAAATCCGCATAGACATACATACATACACACACTCACTTAAAACTTGGTACTTTCAAATATCATAGAGTTTTATATCATTGTCAGAAAAGATGATCGATTACAAAGCTTCTATTCGAAAGCAAAATAAACAAAAACAATAAATCTTTGACCCCGACGTGATTTGAACACGCAACCTTCTGATCTGGAGTCAGACGCGCTACCGTTGCGCCACGGAGTCGTTATTGTTGTCAAGCGGAAAATAGCCTTGCAAGAGTCCCATAAACGTGCCACTTTGTTATTCTCTCCTGTTACAATCCGAACCGCCATACAGAAATCTAAAACATTTGTCCGTTGTACCCCACAAACTTGTGACTCTTCCTCTAGCCAATTGAAGTCTTACGACTAGAATCGAACCACCCTTTCGAGACGTCAAGTAAAGAATGAGTCCTACTAAATTCGCAATTTTCATAAAACTAGGCTAAATGTATTTGTATCACGAATGACATGCTTAATAACTGATCGAACCGATTTAATATTTCAGTCCGAACGGCAATGATCCTAGACAATTCAAGTGGTGAATATCCAGGTCTCTGTATACGACTAGAAGTAGTTGAACGGTGCGTGCTCACATCCCGCATACGAGCCCCTCGTTATCAGGATAGTATGTCTCATCTGGATTCTGAGATTCTCTCCCCACGTTGAACTGAGTTTCGCGCGGGTTGTCTCAACCAGCCCCTCCTCCAACCAGGAGATCATACATATCAGCGACAATCACTGACTTTCAACGAACTCGCTGGTTAACATTCGCGTCTTGCGCAGAAGAGACCTTTCCGACGCTCAAGTGAGTACTGTGTTATTCTGTCATACCTTGACTTTCGCCCGTGAGGAATTTTTTCAACAGGAACGCATGCTGTCGACTGCTCACGCGTTGTGACGCAACCGACGGAAGCCGCGGGAGTGTCAACGACACTGCAACGTTGAGGGAAGTGGAGGGGATCAGTGGATAGAGCGAAAAATTTTTTGGGGAAATCGTGGGACAAATGAACTCTGGGTATTGACGTTGCATTAGGGCAATATGTTTCATATTTTTCTGTAGTGAGCTGATGAGTTCTCAATTATAGCAAGTAGAATTATCATGCTTATGGCCAATTGGCTCCTCTCATGAACTATCGATCTCTTAAATTTGGGGGAAAACAGTGTCATTGCACTTTGTGCAGTTTCAGTGCGTCAGTGAATGTCATTCTGCCGTTAAATCGAGGAAATCGTTGGCCAATTGCACATGAAATGGACTATAGGCTGCAGCAAGCAATTGGAATTGTGGAAAGTATGACTGGTCCTACCAAAATTCCCCGGCCAATTCCTTTGCCCTGGACCAATGGCTAATGAAAAGGGTTTCTGGGTGACCAATAAGGTGTTTGAACGGCACAGAGGTGCTTAGGGCCCATGCGGCTCTTCCTCAAAATTGTGTCTTTCCGATCCGCGGCGATTAGGAAAGGACTGGAGGTAGCGCATATCGAGTATAATCAACGACCGTTTCACGCCAGCCGCCTTGACTTCATGTACGCCTGGCATCAGGTCGGTTGATTTGTTGATTATGTCCATTCCGCCTTCCAACCACGAGAATTTACCATATGTTTGTCTTAATAATATATGAGCGGACGATATTCTCGTCGAAATTTAGCCACCCGATTTATCTGCTTCTGGGGGGTATGGTTTCATTAGCGCTCTCACAACGGTCGCAACCGTTGAATAAGAAATTCCAAGTCTGTCGATTCATGCTTTCCTGATCCGAGGAGGGGCTAAATGAGACAACCCGCGCGAATGTCGTTCCACTGTAAGAGAAGAGATATACCTCTTCTCTGTAAATATTCTCCTGGTGAACGACGGAACGTATGCGGGATGTGAGCACGCACCACTCGACGTTTTCGAAACGGTACAGGGGCTACGACGAGCGTACATGTGAGGCATATCTGATTCCATGATGCTTGTGGTGTTTCCATTAACCATTATGGATGACCACGTGGAGGAAATGGCTGAAGTATTTTGATGAGAGCTTGTGTAGACGTAGAGGATCAGCAAAAAGGCATATCAGCTTGACCCCGACGTGATTTGAACACGCAACCTTCTGATCTAGAGTCAGACGCGCTGCCGTTGCGCCACGGAATCTTGATGGTCCGCCTGACCTGACCACTTGTCTGACAACCAGCTTCCTTAATTAGCCAAATTGGGAGCATCAGATCTTCATAAAAATTATGCGATCCCTGTTCGGATAGACCTATTTCTAAATCATGATCTTTTCAGTGTCAGCTTGCCAGATGTCTCGCATTCTCCCTAGACTGATATCAGACAGCACCTATTCATTCAGAATCACCCTGGAGCCCTTCGGAATGTATAACATTCAGGGGCGTGGTCCAGGGTGGCATCTTCAGAATGAAATCTCTATCAGGGCAGCACGCCAGTCTGGAGTGTAACTGGAACGTTTCGTCTTTCTTTTTTTCCCCATTTCTCTTTCGCTCCTCCTTTCCGTCCATTCTGGATTCAAGGGGTTCCCCCCTTTCTGACTGGCGCACGCACCCAAACAAAAACCATGCAACGAATGGCATTGAGCAAACTTACTCGAGCCCCTGAGAACAACATTGCAAACAGGGACGCACGAGTGGGCAGAAGTAGTCAATAATTATGGGGTTACAATTCTTGACGTTGTGGACACGACAATCAATAGCGTACCAAGCTTCTTGGATTGAGGCATTTTCTGGTCCAAGTCTAATGGTTTTCAACACTTGACATGCGTATAATACCGATGACTTTGAAGCACCCTTGTACATTAGAAATTGGAGAGTACCAATAGTTCATTGACTGACTCATAATACCTACCATGGGGTGATGGTCTCCTGTTAGGTGTGAACCACGGCGCCGCGTGCCGACGCAACCCATTGGATCTTGGGTTCGTCCAGCATGGAAAAATCAAGCTAGGTAACTACCAGTAACTCCAGCAAAGCATGCGCTTCGTCATGATACACGAAGTATGTGGAAACCAAGGAAATTGAAGCTAAAAAATTTGGCAGCGGTGGGATTCGAACCCACGCCTCCGAAGAGACTGGTGCCTTAAACCAGCGCCTTAGACCGCTCGGCCACGCTACCAACTGATGATTTTCTTCAACCCCATTGTTGGATACATCGTGCAGTCAACTCTCTCAGCATTCCATCCAATATACTCATGACTGGCAAGTGTCTTATTATTACTATAACGATATTCCCTTTTCTCCCACATCAAAAGAGCAAAGAGTTGCTCATTTACTTTGATTTCAATTAATTGATTCTCGCGCAATGATTCACGAAATGATGCCATTTTTTATTTTATTTGTTGGATTTCGGGGTGTTCCCCCGAGTTTAAAATTCACTCTCCTAGAGTTTTTATATTTCCGGATTTAGGAAATATTTATTATTTTGTTGCTGTGGGACCTTTCCTTTATGTTATGAAAAAAAGGGAAAGTCCCGGAGGAACTTTCTCATTGCGGGTTTTTCCCGAAATACATCTGGCGACCAGAGAGGGTCAAGCAAGAGAAAAATCCAAGGGTTGAGGGTGGAAGGAGAACTCATATTGCCCTCTGGAGAGGAGTTTAACGTGGGCCTTACTAGTAATGTTTAGTTAGTTCGTTGTAAGTCTTTGTTCAGTAAAGTACCCCTTAACTGTCTAGAGTCTTATAATTCTAAAATAATAATTGTCAGTCTTAAAAATTCTCTAAGTATTTATTTATTTCGATCTCCATAATCCAATATTATTTATTTCAACTTGATGGATAAAATTGATAAATCAACAAAAATATTTACGTGTGGATTTAAATGGTTGGAAATTCCGAGGTTTTAATACGTAAATAAATAAAATTAACAAATTATGTAAATCTGAAGAAAATAAAACATCAAAATCTCAAGAATATTGACTTGGCAGAATGAATTTTTTCCCTTGCGGTATTTTAGGAGCTCATTGACGCACCTGATGACTTTTCATTTCAAGGTATTCGCGGTCTGTCCTGTCTCGTTATATTCTAGTATATTCTGTTATATTCTGTTATCATCTGTTTCTCTTGGCCGGATGATTATTTACTTTTGGATGCACTTGAGGATGCAAATATACGAGGATGACTCGTTGTTCATTCAGGGGTGGGGGTGAGCGATTTAGATGGGGAAAATTTTCACGTACGCGTGGTCCAGCAGAATTTTGCGGTGGTGGTGTCGGTGAGTAAGTGATCCATATATAGAAGCCCACCCACGATATTTTAACACCAACACCCTCAAATGCATGTCATGGATATATATCTCGGCATCGGCCACCGCAGCCCCACAATCTTTTTGTGTGCTTGCGCTAACCAACTCATCGGTCAAATCTTTCGAGTGTCTTCTCACATTTTTTCTTCAAATCGTGTGCGAGAGGAATTACTGGATCATCATGCCTGGACGTCCACTTTGGCAGGTGAGATTTTTCAGATAATATAATCTCGGGGGGTGTGGTTTGAATTCTCTTACTCCTCAGCTGAGTTTGACAGATGGCACACTCTGCAATTTATTTCTTTTTCCTCTCTTCATTATGTTTTTTTCTTGATAATAAATAAGTGATTCTTCTCGGATACGGGGATTTATTTTTTCTTGGGCAGACTAATGTTTCGGGCTCCTCACATAAATATTCAGTATTCAATATTTTTGCAAATACATTTTTTACCGTTTTACCATTAATAAAGATGGATTGTTTACGGAAAACAATGTGGAATGCTTTTCAGTTGTGAGTGGATTATTTTCCGGTTTTTCATTATTTATTATAATATCGTCTCCTTCATCTTCCATCCCTGAATTCCTCGCTGACGTTTCTCTTTCGGGGCTAATTCTGGATTTTACCGGAGTGACTCACGATCTCGCAATAATTTGAAAACATTTTTTCATGTTTTACTTCAGTCGGAGTTCTTTCAACAGCTTGAAGTGAAAAATAACGAGAAATCGGGTCATTATTAGAAATAGAATTAGAAAAGTACCCTTGGGCCTTCGAAATTAGCGCGAAGCCGTGACCTGATCCAATGGAAATTTTTGGATAAAAAAAATCAAGATATTTTAATCTACGGATGAATCCAGAAATAGCGTCATTACCGTAACTCGTGCCAACCAAAGCTTAAGTAAATCATTCTCTTCGTGGTCTCTATATAGCCTCTGTGTTTACGTTTTCTGCGCCATTTTCGTTACCAAGTTGATTATGTTTTTTTTTTTGGAATACCGCGCGAAGAAATGTCACAACACGTGCCGCTTTTCCATCGCGTCTTTGAACTTGTTAATATCCTGCTGATGTTTTTAGGGTCGAGGGGAATGTGGAGTTCTTCAATGAGATGCGATAATAAAATAGAAAATTTCGTTGATTTATTTTTCACTGATTGTCACAAGTTCTGATGACATTTTCCAAATAGACAATGAAAATCACCAATTAAACAATTATTCAATTCGTTTTTGTGTTGCTTTGTTTTTTATTTTGTCAACTGTGTTTCGGTGTATTTGCGTGAGTAACTGCACCCCGGAGGAAAATAGTCTAATCTTCACATTTCAGTCTCAAATCCGAATTTGAATTTTTTTTTAAAATTTGGTAGTGAAATATTAAAGTCAGACGAATTAATCCGTCATTTTATTACACATCGAATCGATCTATCTACAGAGCTATTGATTTTACGACAAAATATCAAGAGCCCTTTTTCGTCAGAAATTTAATTCACCCCAAAAAAGTTCTCTCGAGTTTTTTCGTCACATAAAAAGTTACCGAGATAAATCGATAGATTAATAAATAAAGAACTCACTTCAACCATCATCAATGATTTTATAGTAATAATTTTTCTCCGCAGTGCATGTGTTGTGTATTACTGAGTGTTTCTGTTCGTGTAAATGTTGAGCGAATCGTCAATATTGTCTAGTTAACAATTTTATAAAGCAGATACTGTATTTCTTCTTAAATAGTAATGATCTTAGAGTAATTAGTTTGTTCACATGTGTCTGGTGTTGCCAAAACCGCCGTGGCCAGACTGGCTTGCACCCTTGTTGTAGCCCATCTGGAGGTTCAACTCTCCTTCGTGTGCCCTCAGTTGCTCCTCGGTAAAGGTCCTCTCGTTCTTGTCCGCCATTTTTGGGCCCAAGCGGGGACCTGTGTACTCCTGGTGTTTCTGTGTCTGTCGTAATTCAATGTTGATAATTGGGTTTCGATTGATTTCCAGTATTTCAATTAATTATTAAAAATTATTTTCTCGCTTTCTTACGATTCTACTTACGATTCTGCCCAGGGCGTAGAGGCACAGGGTCACTTGGGGGATGTTTCGTCTCTCAAAGAGATCTGCCGTTTGAAAAATTTCCTCCTGAGGGACTCCGTAGGCCTTAATGGCAGCTTGGAACCTAGAATAATCCACCAACAGTTCTAGTCAATCAAATTAATAAATAATCAAAAAAGTATCGAGTCAAAAAAATTAATAAATCATGAGGGACTGAGTTTTTTCTTTCTAGTAAAAGAACATCTTTCAATTAAAGGAACATAACGAAATTTTCCTGGGAAGCCCTTGCCTGGAGAGGAGTAAAAATTATAAAAAAAGGTTTTCAACAAAAACTTTTATATCTCACGTAAAATTATTGTTTATTACCTCAATTGACTTGTTATAGTTATTAATTGAAATCATTTGGATTTGATTCAGTTCATTCATTTTCATTTGAGTTATTATTTCAATTAATTTGGAATAGATTTTCGTATTGCGAAATTCTTCAAGAAAATTGTGAAGTTGGTAATTGAATGGAAATTTTAATCGGTAAAATATAAATTTTTCTTGGATTCGTATTAAATTTCCGCATTCATCCTCATATATTGTTTTGAAACACTCCCTGCTGTGCTCAGAACTCAATATTGTTCATTAAATATCCATAAAAAATAAGGCATTTAATAATTGTCGATAAATCGATGATAAATCGAGTGTCAAGAAATCGTAACGCTGAAAGTATTCGGCATTTGAATGCTCGAGAATTATTTATCATTTTGACACATCCTGATTTTCACCCTCACACGATATATCGATCAATATATCAATATAATATAATATATATCAATGGAAAGCTAAATAATTTTAATTCAATAACGATGAAGACAACCAAGAAATATTTAACAGCAAAATTTCATTTTTAAATGAAATAAATTTCTCGGCAGTTACGTCTTTCTGTTATTGAGTTGTCGGTATATGTGAGAAAAGGGATTCTATATATTGAGTGAAATTCATAGAACGCTCAAAATAGTTATAGTTATGTAGAGTTGAATGAAAAAGACGTATGTTTTTGGAAAATTAATTTTCTTTGTGAGACCTTACCTTTGAACATTCTCCATCAGTTGGAAATTCGTTCCTTTTGTCTGAATTTTCTTGACTGACCCCGGGGCAATTTTATTGATGACATTACAGAGGACAACTCCATCCCTCAAGATGTCTTCGTATTCACCCTTAGGTAATTTCTCCCCCAAAACTGCTTCGATCCAGGTGAGAACCTCAGCTTCCTGTTCCTTGTTGCGTGGCTGCGAAAAATCGACAAAAATTAAATCCACGAGAAAAAAGTAATATATTCTAAAAAAATTGCACTTGAAATTTTAGATTAAAAAAAATGAAATAACAACAACAACGTGACATGAAATTTCTATAAAATTCTTTATTGAGGGATCTGTTAATTTTTTCATGTAATTTGGAAAAATTCTCCATTTTGAGAACCACATGACAATTAAATGACAGAAGAATGTTGATAATTCAAGTAAAAGTTTTCATGAATTTTCGAATTATTGAAAAGGAAAAAGAATTGTCTCTAAGAAATACCTAAAAATTCAAATTCTCACGAATTTTAATTATTTTTAATTGAAATTCAATTCAAACTCATATAATTGGTAAATGACATAACTATGTGACTGTAATTTCAAGAAATTTCTAACAGAGTAGAGAGAATTCTTCACCTGTTATTGTCCTCAAGATAACAACCAGTCTGATAAGGATTATAATTTTTACTCGGTTCATCTTGTTTTTTGATAACGGCAGGATAAAAATTCTCGAAGAACCAAATATTCTAGGATTGCTAAAACCTCGGGGTGATTTTAAAAATATTTTTTTTTATGTGGAGCTTCGCTCAAAATACTGTGATAAATCGAAGATTTAAAAATACATGAAGGCCCTCGAGCAGCTGTTATCGATGGATCTCCTGTCTCGATACAAGTTGTACCGATTGTCATAAATAAAAACCTCCATTAAACTGTCAGATAGCAATTAATCCTACGCAATCCATTCCTATTTTTTCTCTATCCCTCGATAATCCAGAGTTGTGTCGAGACAATGACGTAAACCACTAAAGTATCACGATAGAAGTTATTATTTATAGAGATGACTTTAAACATCGGATATTTATGATATTTATGATCTCGAAGCCGCAGACTGTCCATTGGCAAAAATTGGGTTGGCAAAATAGTCAAACTGTATTATTTTCGGCGAGTTGATTCGCCGAGTGAAGCGTGTCTGCCAATAATTGTGCGGAACGAATTTCGGCGAATTATGTCACGTTTAAATTCTCCTTTATCTTGCTACAAAATTCCACTCGGGAGAAATTCATTCAGGATTTAGTTATCGTTTTAGCTCTCGCGTAATGGAGAGAAACGATTAAAGAGAAATTAAAACTCATTATGCGAGTTTGAATTCAATTTCAATTAAAACCGCCAGTTTCTCATGTTGAATAATAATTAATTTTTCAACAAACGTTTTTCATTCATTCAAAAGATTGAAAATTCAGGGAAATTATTGCGTGAGTTACCAATATTCAAGTCATTTACTGAATTCTTAATGAAGAATTTTACGGAAATTTCACTTCACTGTGCCGTTAAAAATTTCACGTGTAATTTCCCAACAGCGTTTTTATTTCCATAATTTTCCCACAAACCTAATAAACATTATGCCTTTGAAGTGGAAATTTTACCGAACGAGGGGTCCAATTTAATTGGATCCAATACATTGACCATCAGAATTTGTTGGAGAGTGTTAACTGAAGAGAACTTTTCAATTCCGCCAGAATGGGTTCAGCAACAAATTGGTGTAGTGATAAGAGTGAAGGCCACAGTATTGATAAATATAGATTAATTAGAAAAATTATTAAGTTTGGGAGAAGAACGTGAGGACCTTTCGTCAGAAAACAGTCAGTTATGAAGAAATAGAATTAAAAAATGAATCAATAATGATATAAAATGGAATGTTCGACTCGTCTCATCCCTGGGAATTTTCTTAATGAAAAAACATTCCAACATTTTATTTTGTAGAGCCCTCTGGAGTCGACGTTGGTTTATTTCAGGATTATTTTCAGCATCCCAATAGAACTGAGAATGCATGGAGTTGGATGGAGTGCAGATGGCTGCGTAATCTCTTTGCGTTATTGCACCGGAAATCTAATTTTGTTATTTTATCCCGTTGTTAATTAGAACAAACATAAATTACCGATAAAACGAATTATTGTCAAAGGTGGTTTAACAGGAGCAGCAGAAAATCGTCGTTTAATTGATTAGTTAATTAGGATGAAAGAAGTTGAGAAAATTTAATTCGACTGCGGAGAAAATCCTTGTAGGGGTTGAAATAATGCGAGAATGTTATTACGGTTTGATTGAAGTGGTGGATACGTACCGCCATGGTTTGTTGAGTGATTTATGAAATTATTACAAAATGGGAGATGAGGGCTGCAGTGGGGTAAACTCCGGTGAGGTTTTGGAGAGTGGCAGGTTGAGTGGAAACTAAGTCAAATGTGGGGCGTCGCGACGCTATATTACTGGCATCCCCACCCAAATATCAGTGGAGGGACGTTGGCAATCTTCCCAGTGGGTATTCCCACACCCCCGCCCATTTAATGTTCCTTTTTTTCAGGGTATGTCATCTCTAATTTGTCATTTTTATGTTTTTCCGGTGACCATGGAAACAGAGGCACATTATGTTCTAGTGACGGGAAATTTTTTGTGAATTTCAAAAAATCATGGCTCATTTTCCCCCAGGGGCTCGATGGAAAATTATTTTTAATATTTCCAAAATTTGTTTACCTAACATTTTACAAAATTCTTTTTTTATTTTATTATGTATCAATTTTCTTAGGTATTTAGGTAATCTTAAATTGAGTAATTGTTATTCAATATTTCTCACTGTATCTAAAGTAGAATGAAAACTTGAAAATAATTGATCCACCGGAAATTTCTGGGAATTCATAAAAATGATAAAATTTTAATTTCCCAACACTAGAATTTTTACAGAAAATTTCTCCTCGTCTATTTTTATTCTTGGAAGGAATTAATTAAACGACGGTGGGGTAAAACGGATCCTTCTGTGATTTTTTTATAGACCGAGAAAATAAACTTGTTGATGTCGAAAAAATAATGTCTAGATTCAAGAAAACAGTTTTCTCAAATTTCTACGAAGAAAAAAGTTGCACAAAAATAAGGGAACGAAATCAGAGTCTAAATCTCTGTATAATTCAAAATTAAAATGAATAATTTAGTTATTTAATTTATTTTTATTTTGAGATTATATCAAGGGGCAAGCAACGTACGTGTTTTAAAAGAATTCTCACATTTTATTCAAAGATCAAAACCACTCTTAACATCAAAGACAAATCCCTCACTGTTCCGTCTATACATAATTATCCGACAACATTATGTGCAATTTCCATGGACATATGAATTTCTCCAATAGTCGTTGTAAAAATTATTTGTATGGATCGTGTAAAAATAGGAAAATCGGGGGAGTTGGTGCTTAAGCGTGACAGTGGATATATTAATAAACGCACTTTTCGGAATTACAGAGCGAAGGTCGAGGAACGATAATGGCACTCATACTTCATAAGTATTAACGTAAACAACTTGAGATGTTGGTAAATAATGACATGTTTTTTTAAATTAATGTTAACAATGTCAGGGGTAATAATTTTTGGAAGTGCGCCACTGGTCCGAGGCAATGACGGGTTTAGATTTTCGTCAATCGGCGCTTCACGCGGATTCATGTGTCATTTTGTTCACCTTATTTTACATTACATCTGGCGAGAGACACACTCTCTCTAATTGATAATTAAAGAGTTCATATTAGGTATCACCAAACACTCAGTTCCAACTAATTAAATTAGCCGTGTAATTGAATTTAATTGCACAATTATATATGATTCATAGATTTCATGATCTCTCATCTAACGGTGTTTTAATTAAATTTTATCTAACTATTTTTAACTATTAGTTTTAACTATTTTTATCTCTCGGTTATTGGAAACTATTCAGGAGTTTTGTTTAGGCTGAGATAATTAATTGGTGAGAGAGAGACTTCTTCAGCTTCAGATGAAAATTGTTTATTGAAAGTAATTCCAAATTTTATTTTATATTTCCGTTTGTGGAAAGTAATTTTAAATGAACCTGTCCCTCAAGAAGTGAATTTTATTTCTACTAGAAGGGCGCTTTAGCTATTTAATGTTGATAACGAAATTAATTGTTTAACAGTTTTCTGATAGTTCTTATTTCCTCTTTGATATATTCGGCGGCATATTGGATGAATTTGTATATGAAAATTAAATACATGAAGATAACAGGTTATTATAAATTCTATTCACATAGTATTACTATTTCTGAAAATGTGCTATCATCGATAACTTTTGATCAAATCGATGGCAATGGAAGACCCATAGTGCTAATCGAGTTTTAAATACTGTATTGATAAATAAATTTGTTTAAAACTAGTAATTGAATTTCGGAATTTAATGGTGACTTTACTTTTATGTATATTAAAATTAGAAGAAGAGTCTTCAACTTCTTAATACTAATAACAAATTAATATAATACAGTTAAATAATTAATTTAAATTGTTCTTTCGATTTCATATAACTGTCATTTATTTATTTGTATATTTATTTGCTTTCATTACCTATTTGTTTAGAAACAATAAATTGACGGGAATCTATAAAAAGATTTAAACAGTCAAATAGTTACTTACTTCAGAAATATTTTTCATTATTTGAAATCTAATTGAATAAAAACAAAGATTTTTTATAGTCGATGAATAGGTTTACAAAATTTTTCTCTCAGTGTGAGTGCGTGCGCACGCGTCGACCGCCGCGAAAATTCAAACTGCTGATGCGACTAGTCATCGCCAGACGTCGCACGCTCGACAATTTTTCTCCTGCTTCAGAATCATTTCAGAGTTGATAAAAAACCTCTGGTAAGATTAAATCGTTAGCTTTGCGCAGTGGCGATATCGTAACCAATGAGGTTCTACCGAGGTGCGATTATTGCTAGTTGAAAACTTTTACCAATACCCCGCCAAGACGATGTGAAATACCATCGGCTACGGCAATTTTTGAAAGTTTCTGCGGAAACTGATAACTCAATTCCAAAATAAATGTCCGATCATGTGACCTATTTTTAATAAATTTCAATTCTTTAAGTATCAGCTTTCATTAACAGTTTAATTTTTTTAATCACCTTATTTCATTATTAAAACAGAAATAATTAATTGACATTTTTTGAAAGTTTCTGCGGAAACTGATAACTCAATTCCAAAATAAATATCCAACCAATGCAATCTATTATAAATAAATTTCAATTCTTTAAATATCAGGTTTCATTAACAGTTTAATTTATTTAATCATCTTATTTCATTATTAAAACAGAAATAATTAATTGACAATTTTTGAAAGTTTCTGCGGAAACTGATAACTCAATTCCAAAATAAATATCCAACCAATGCAATCTATTTAAAATAAATTTAAATTCTTTAAATATCAGGTCTCATTAACAGTTTAATTGTTTTAATCACCTTATTTCATTATTAAAACAGAAATAATTAATTGACAATTTTTGAAAGTTTCTGCGGAAACTGATAACTCAATTCCAAAATAAATATCCAAGCAATGCAATCTATTCAAAATAAATTTAAATTCTTTAAATATCAGGTCTCATTAACAGTTTAATTTTTTTAATCACCTTATTTCATTATTAAAACGGAAATACTTAATTGAAATTTTCCAATTGTACGAGGAATAAAATAAATAAATTAGATATAAACGAGTCATTCAGGAAAATGATTTCATCACTATTCAAGAATATCCATGATTTTTTCGACAATTAGCCTGTTATAATTAATTATAATTAGACAATTAATGATAAAATAACAGCTGAAATAAAAAATTTCCGTGGAATTCGTATTCTTCAATATTTAGGACATCTAATAATTAAACATAAGGGGGAAATATCTCTCACTAATTCCTCTGGCTCAAATTGATTTTAAATAATTTGAAATTCCACTGGATTATTGACAAAGTAATCCAGAGGATTACTTTTAAATTTAAATCTCGACTACAAAAATATTGAGAAATTGACTGTCGCACCAGTAATAACACAACCAGGCTTAGAAAATCAGGAAATGGTTCATCCACCCGAAATAATATTTTCCCCTCAACCAACGTCTCATCCACTTACACCAGACCACCCACGCCCATCTCCGTCAATCTTCAACATCTGTACTCAGTAACAAATACCCGAGACATTTGATTGCCCAACTTTGCGCTATTTTTTTCAATGGACCTGAATTTTTCTATTTTTTAGTGCGCGGGAAAACGCGAGCCGGAAAAAGATGCCGAGGCACAGGCCTGGATCGAGTACATCATCGGCGAAAGGTTTCCCATGGGTGAGTCTGTAATTTATTCACTAATTGAGCAGATGAGTTTCCAAAAAAAAAATGCAAGTGGAGAATTGTTTTTCCATTACGTGTGGTATAGTTACTTTCGTTAATAAATTAGCAATAGGTTTATGAAAACCATTTGTCATCTTCAAAAGCCGAAATTAGCATTAATCATCTTATAAATTTTAGCAACTTTAGATGTGGCTATAGCAGTTACTGTAATTCTATGATTTCAAGATCTAATTAAATTCAACTGAAGAATATTCCGCGATAGAGTCGAAATTTTAATATTTCCAATATACGAATTTTAGGCAATCTTGCTATTGCTATTATTTCCATTTTTCAACTCGGTTAACAAATCATTGAAACACATTTTTGAAGCCATGATTGAAGTATTTCATAAATCTTTTCCTTCAGCTACTGTGACAAAATGGATTTTAAAAAACTCGAAAATAAAAAAAGAATTAATGGAATTTTAATCAATATCGACGACTAGGTCTCAACAATTTTGCATGTAAGAAAAAAATGATTTAATTTAAAACATACATACATGCATACATACATACGCACCGAAGGACACCCTCTAAAAAATACATTTTCCGTTTTTTTGGATTACATTTTGGAATGAATCGACATATCAGAGAAAATACAAAATTCAAATTTCAATTATTACAATGCTCCTAATCGGTGACAAAAAAAGAAAAAAAAAATCTCCAGTTTGGATAAAAAATTCCGATGTAAATGAGCATTAGATATAAAAATACAATTAATATCGAAAAAAAAACTGGTTTCAATGGAGTTCAGCAATTAATGGCAATTGAAAGCACTTGATTTAACCCCAGACGCTATAAACCTTCCGAGTCTTCTCTAAATACGAGCTGTCGGTGTAATCAGAGAATCATAACCCGAAGGTGTTGTTCTCGCCCCTATGGTATCGATTATTCGAGGGGTGAAACCTGACCCCAGATATCCATCAACCCCCGATTAAGCCACTTCCCGCCACCTTCTGCTCGCCTATTACCTGGGGGTGGAAAAATCGCTGCAAGCCCTTACAAAATCATTGATTAGGAGTCATCGACGATGCACGGTATCCAACGAGACCAGGAACACAATTCGCCCCTCATCATCGTCTTCAACCCTCAATATTACCTGCTATCACATTCTGGAGCCCTAGTAGCCAGAGGTGGCGAGGGTCTGCAAGCCCTTAAAAAAAATATCAAAACATGCCGACAATATTGAGCGGCATGCAATCCGGATAGAAATGTCGAGGTGCATGACGTTGGAAAAGGTTAAAGGAAGGAATAGGGTGAGTTATTTGTGCGCAACTCGTCCCCAGGATTAAATTCACTGACTTTGGCCTGTTTCCTTGATTATTCCACAGTCAGGGTCCCGGTGGAGGGTGGCTAGAGCCTCCTGGGATTCTCTACTATCCTGACACTGCGCGCGCTTTGTTACGTCACGATCTCACTGGAAATATCTCCCCAAGGCCAATTCAGAAATTCATCAATAGCCTTTGGCTCCATCGCTAAAAATAATTCATTCACATTTTATACTTGATTCAAGTATATTCATTATACGAAAAACAACCCAGACGAAAATATGTATGTAGAATAAATATATATCATTTAAAGCAGCGGAAATTCAATTCTAAAAATTTTTCGAGAAATCCGCTAGATCATTTATAATATTAAAAATTGAATATGAAGTTTACTTGACTTAAGTATTTGAGTTGTACTTTAAAAAATATATGGATAGTTAAAGAAAGTATTCAATGATAATTCAGTTTAATTCCATTTGCTTCTGGTTCATTCCATTTTCAATGTTGTAAATGATTTTGATGATTTTTTAGGAGTGGCAGAAAAATGTTTTTTTTATCGATATTGAATAAGAAGTTTTCGAAATTTTTCGGAGAATTCTTCATCGACAATTCAACTAATTTCTTGAATAATCTGATAATTATTAATTATCAAGTCCAGATTGCACTGGAAAAATTCAAGCTCTCATTAAAAAATCGATTATCATTTAACATGAAACAACCAATTTTCCTGAATTTTCAGGATAAAAGGAAAATTCAGTGATCGTTGTTAATCGAGATTGAATTCAAACTCGCATGGTTGCAGATTCAGATAGTTTTGTGTCTCTAAAACTTTTCGAATCAATACTTCTTTGATGAATTCTTCATTTTCTTCTGGAACGACTTTCCCATTCGATTACAGTTCAGCCTTTTTCAATGGCTCTCTCATCCAATTAGAAAGATTGAGATAAAATTTTCCAATATTAGGATATTGAAAATCGTAACATGAGTTCTTCAGCGCGAGATGCCACCCTGATGTCACGAAGAATACCGTGGAGGTGGCCGAGACATCAGCCCCACCCCCTCCCATTTTTCTCCCCCAAATAAACTGGGGTACATCACAAAAATGGCCCAAAAAAAAAGCTCACTTTCAAAGCCCTTGAAAAACGGCCCGACTTCATCACAGGATCATAAAGCCCAATTGGTCTAGGTATTTTTTCACTGTGGATGAAATAACGTTCCGTAAAAAATTGCAGTCTAAAATAAAAAAATATAAGTTTTTCGTTAGCTCGTATGTTATCGGTTATCAGTAGTACCTAATTTATTAAAATGACTCATGAATTTACACATGAATAAATCAGTACATATACAACAGTAATTCCCCTCACGGAAAAAAAATATATATATGCTAATAATAATATATATATTTCGCATATATACTGTTTTTCACGTGAATTGAATGAATATAGAAATCCTAGAAATAAGCAAATAAATTTGAATGAATTATAATTAGGACATTAATATTAACACATTAACATCGAAATGTCAAATATTCATGTGGATATTGAAATAAAGTACAAAGAGATTGAAGTATAAGTTTGATAGGTGTGTCGCGTGCGCATAAGCGGGGCAGCTCTTATCAGCGAAGGTCTATCGATTATCCGTCACTCGTTCATCATGTTACGTCGCAGGGACGCTAGTGTATCAGGGGTACATAGTTTACTGCCTAGTTTCTCAGTGACACTCTTTCCTTCTCACTCCTCTGGGGCTTGAGAGATGTTGCAAGTGAGCGGCTGATTAAACAATTACTCAGAGAAGCCCAGGGGAAATGGACACGACAATCAGTCCGAAACGTCAGTCATCCGTCCGTCACGACGGCGCAACGCGTCCTGACGCACCAGGGTATCAGCAGATGTTTGAGGGATTTATAGGGTCTATCCCGCGTCTCGACGTCGACGTTGACGTCGGTGGTGATTCAAAGCCTGATATTGATCTCCATAGAGCACCTGCTAGGTTCCAGAGGCCAGTGGTCAGAGACACTTCTGCATGAGGTACCTGTCCCTTCAGTTTGATGGATGGCTAAATCCTTCGACACTTCAAGATGCCAAATACCCGTCAGGGAGTCGTCAATGACGTCATTTTGAGACAAGCTTACCAGGGTTACAGCCCCGGGGGAAAATTTACGAGCTTGCGCTCAACATCACGTCGTCTCGCGCCATTTCAGGGGCTGTACCTCCCACTATTCCATACGTAACACTGTAATATAAAGTCTACTGCACTCTTCAGAATTTCTTGGAATTCCAGTCAAAGTCATCTGCTAAGTCATGGGAATATTCAATTATGAGCTTGAAATTTATTTCAATTAAAAACACAGCGAGTTCGGAAAATAATCAAACCAACACCAACATGAAGGTGATATTTCCCTCCTTGTCAAGTTTTCCAGAAAACTAACACGTTCAATGTGTTTGCATTGACTTACCCTGAAATATCCAATAATTTCGAATCTCTCGTGGTATTAGAATTGCAAAACTTCTGGTGCTTTGCACTTGGGATTTATAACAAGTAAAATCGGAACCGATCACTCCAACGAAGTTATCGGAAAATATCCGATAATTTTTAAGTACTTAGTATTCAGTGGTATTATATTACCACTGAATATTTCTCTCTGTATGACCGTCACCTTTTCTAGACTTGCCTTGGAATCGTTCTATCAAATCTGTCAACCTGTTCAGAAATGTGGTGGGCTGTGGGTGAAACCTGTTGCTCAGTGGAGCTGATATCGTAAATTCGGACGCGGGATGTTGTCCTGATGAGAACCGTGGCTTTGACGTCTTTATGACACAAGCCTGACATTTAATCGATGAGAGAATGACCCGGGCACATGCGCATCACTCCTGTCTGTATGTTTGACCACCAGCATCATCATTTAATTCCCCGTTAAAATACCGGAATGCTCGATTTAATCGCTCCATTTTTTTGTCACTCGTGCAATGAATCAGTCAACCTCGTCGTCATCATGACGATTTTGGGGGTGGAAATGGGGTTGAAACACCCGAAGATATCGATTTCCTGTCACCTCCTGGCGTTTACGGCATTTCATACCTTTTCGTGGGTACCAGGATTTCATCAGTTGGTCCAGATCATTTCGCGTCAAGTGAGAGGAAAATCACTGAAAGCATTACATAAGTCTCAGCAATTTGATACAATTATCTCTCTATGGCATTAAATTCCGCGGATTTCTCCACTCGGATATATTTTTCCAGTCGAAATAAAATCGTTTATCAAATATGAAGTCAGATCTGGGCGACAATGTCTCTTTTCGCGGTTTTCAACTCGAATTTGAGATGAAAACCTCTTCCATCTGCCTGAAACTCTGGTATTCAAGAGCAACCGGGAGACTCCCCAAGGATAAAGTTTCCTCCTACCTGAAATATTCCGCATTATCGTTGAATAAATTCCTGATACGAGATATCTCCAACCCGGAAATCGACTTCCTGGGGTGTAATGATTTCCTGATGCCTCTGGTGAATTGGACAAGTGGTTTTAATGTCTCATTATGAATTGTTTGATATGGAAGGAGTATTGGGGGGGATATTGAAGGCGAGGCGGTGTCAATTGGTTTTAGGGGGTTTAGGGGGAGAGTGGGTGGAGTCGATCGACTGTCGATGGTTTGTCAATCGGGAACGCCGAAGAACGACCAGTTTTGTATTAGGCAAGCAGAGCTGAGGGCGAGGTGCGGACCGTTTTGCCAATGGACGTATCCTCCTGGTCTATGTTCCACCTCGAAATTCCCGAGAGACGTTGATAACACTGGTTATCACAGTAAGAAAAAAATATACCAAAACTTACGTAAGAATTTTCGACTGCATCTTTAATTGACACGAATAAATTTCAAGATAAATAAATTCAACACACGCGGTCTGTAGTTAAATTAATTGAACTAATTAGTTTTACAAATAGTTATTTAAGTTATCGTTATCACTAGCTCTATTTTAAATAGCAGAACCACAAAACCGGGGAATGCAGTGATTGAAGTATAGATATCAATTATTTATTCGGTGGATTTTATGAATATGAGGAAAAATAATAACAAGATAATCATAATGAAACTTGATATCAGAAACGGAACATTCAAGGGTTCAAGGCACGGTAGAGACATATTCAATAAAAGTTATGGAACTCAAGTTCACTTACTAATTACCGAAATGGGTAAGAAAAAATAAGAAAATAGTAAAAATGGTGAAATTTACGTGACGATACCTCAATTTTTGACGAAAAATTCAGACAAAAATGACCAAATGCTTCGAAAAAATTACGCAGGAGTTTCGTAAACTTCTCCGTGAGCAGATTTCGCTCTGTTATTGCAGAATAGACGCCTCATCTATATTGAATATTTCTCTCGGTGTGTTTGTCCGTGTCCTCTGAGTCTGATAATTATCATGACTCACACGTTTCACAGAGAATTACAAATAAAAAATCGTTCAATCATCTGAATTTTTAATCAAATCACAACCTTGAATATTGTTGGCTTGAGCACGAAATTAATGAATAACATCTTGTTGACATAAAACGATTTTCCGTAAAAATGTTACGTAAAAATTATTGAAAATAATCATTTGTGAAATTCCTATTAGATTTTACAGTTTCCAGAAAAATTATATAACTTTTGCGTATTCCTTCAGTGACAGAAAATTTACTGGACATTGCAGATCATGCTTTCTCACGTTTCTATGGGAATTCACCTAAAGTCATTCTTGCTTGCGGATTACGTGAAATGTTCCGTTATTTTTCTTGTAGTTCTCAGGGCAGATGAACTGCAGATTTTATCACAGCTGTTATCACTGGCAGTATTTTTCAAATATATTTTATTTTGTCAGCTGAGTGTCAAGTGATTCCAGGTATTAATAATGATAATCATATTGATCTAAAGGATGATTAAGATAATCACATCAAGATGATTATGATCTCAAATAAATTTTCTCAGGAATTATCAATATATTTAAGAGATCCGTTAGTTTTTTCTAAATAAATTCGGTATTTACAGAAAATTGATAATCAGTGGAGGTCACCCAGGTAATCATCTTTTAGTCCAATATGATGATTATTATCGGAGCGTAATCAGAATCGCCTGGAAATAACTTGATTGGAAATATTGGATTAATAATTAAAAAATACAAATTACAAATAAATGAATACAAATACAAATTTCTTTCAGGTAGATCCAGCAAAAATTTATTTTCCACATTATATTCGAGTTTCAGTAGAAATCAAAAGAATTTATTCAATGCAAATGCATAATTTCGTGGACAAATTGGTGACAATACAAGATATCACTTCCATTTTCTCCGGGAAACTGATATAAAATCCGATTACTTCAGCCATATATCGGATTTTTGTTTTTTTTTTAATTATGCCTGTTTAAGTTCTGAACATTTATGTCAGGTCGTTGTAAACGGAGGAAAATAATTGCTGAAATTAATTTTAACTTTTTTAAATCGTGTAGCGTATAGTGGTCATGCACAATTTTTTGCCATTAATTGGGATAAAAATTAAATAACGCTGATTAAATATTGTATCATGTGAATTTTTATAAATAGAAGTATAAGAGAAAAATCTGAAGCCTTCAATAAATTTTTGGGTTTGCCACTAAAAGTGTACGAAAAAGCAACGTATTTTTTCTAGAAACTGTAAAATTTAACCAGAATTTGATAAACCATTATATTCAAGAATTTTTCCGCAACACTTAAATAAATAAATTAAATTTATTTATAAATTTATTTATATAAGGTAAATTTTACGTGTTTTTTCTAATAATTTTTATTTTACTTTTCTCTCTGTGCAATGGTGTGAAAAAAAATGATAACAACGTAAGCCCGAGTAGAAACCCCCCACCCTGAAAATGAGTGAGAGTATCCATCCCCTCGTATGCTCCCTTAGTATCCCTGAAACTTTCATATTCATAGCCAGACCAGTATATTTCCATCGGGATTTGAATACAACATGGGGCCCGACATGTCCCCCTGATTCCGCAGAATCTCTCATCCATCGGCCATCACTCGAGACCGACTTCCTCCTCTGCTCCCCGGATGTTCCATCCCCACAAATTTAGCCAACGATGTCCCGACAAATATAAAAACACAAAAAAATATATTAACTGATGCCGATGAACCTCCTCCACGGGCCTGAACTCCTGTCCATTGGAGACACATCGCGTCTTGCGAATGGCGTCGAACGGCGCGGAGAACTCACTCTCATCATCCACTCCTCGCCCCGAGAAAAAATAGACCAAATAACAAAAAATTCTTCGACAACTTCAGATATTTATGAAAGACGATATCCAATTGTTTTCTCACCGTTAGAAGGCCCTAAAAAATTCCATGCCCCCTTGGACTCCCTCTTGGGATAATGGGAGTGCAGAAAACACTGCAGGTCGTTCGATTCACCCGTTCGATTATTATTCCGCTGTGACAGGGGCTGAAGTCTGAAAAAAAAAACAATTATAAGGGGATGAGAAATAAAATCGAGTATGGAGAGGAAAAAAAATAGGGGGGCGTCGATAAAGGCGGAGTTCGATGATTGACGCCGGCGCGTTTCGATTTTTCCCCACTTCCTGGTGCCTTCGGCTTTCCAATGAGGACTTTCCAATCATAAAACTCAAAGATAGTTTCATATTTCGGGATTTATGCGGCCCTGATGCCTGTGTATTCATCGGCATTCTTCGGTGATGTATTCGATACTACTGGCAGTTTGCTGACGTCGACATGGCGATAAGATATTTTGGCGGGTCGTATCGCGAAAAACGTCTGGTGTCACTGTACCGGTTATCGAGATTCTCGAAAATTCAACGTTTGCTGAGAAAATTTTGGAAAACTTTCAGTTTTCCTCGGAAGATGAAGAAAATTTTTCGGCTTCTAGAAAATTATTTCTTTCATTTTACAGAATTTAAAGAATTCCTCGAGTTTTCCAACAATTTCTCTATAGGTGAAGCAGAGCTAGCTATCTCAAAGTATAGAATCCTTCACTATTACGTCAAAATGACAATTTTAAACAAATTTATTCTGCATAGATCTTGAAATATCTCCGTAAATAATGGACGTAACAAAAAAAAATATGGTGCCAAATTTATGCAGTTTTTTTCTCGCAATTTTTTTGATTCAGATAGTTTTTCCTCATTTGTGGCCGTTTCAGTTGGAAATTCATTTAAACCCTCACAAAATAGGGACAGACTAAAATTCCCATTGGATTGCAATAAAATTCAATTCCTCCAACAATATGAGAATTACCCTAGTAAATGAGCTTCCCATCAATAATACCATGTTCTAATAAATTAAGAAACAATACTCCAATTTTTTTGAAATTTTCCCAGATTTTTAGAGCATGGCGTTTCTTTTATAGCTTTCAGCCTGATAAAAAAAATACCTAATCATAGAAAAAATGCAAATTGAATATCTCATAATAGAGTATTCAGTCGAATGTTTTTTTAGCACGCGAAATGTAATAAAAAATCAAGGGAAAATTAAAAAAATTATTGCATTTTGAAAAAACATAAAATAGGCGAGACTCCAAAATCCCATCAGAGCAAAAATAATTAATTTTAATTCAAGATGCGCTTGTGTACCTAATCCCAGAGTAAATTTCTTCTGCGAAAATACACTAGAGATATAGCAGAGGTGCACCCACTTATCTGTTTTTATTTTTCAGGCGTGAGCTACGAGGATGCTCTGAGGGATGGGGTGATCCTGTGCAAGCTGATGAATAGGTTGCAACCGGGATGCATCTCCAAGATCAACGTATCCGGAGGAGACTATAAATTCATGGATAATTTGCAGCAGTAAGTAATCGACAAGAGATTCATCGATATACCTGGGGATTTCCTTGGAACGCGGCGGCCCGATGGCTCCGCGGACTCCTCGATGCTCATGGGCTCCTGATACTCATTCGACTTTACGCAATCGACAGTGTTTTGCGTCGAAATACTTCTCGATAAGTGGTCGGTCGTTCCCCCCCGTGTCACATATCGAACGGTCTCTCAAGGGTGCAGTGAAATCGAGATATCGGGTGGTGTATCGAGGGACATCGAGCGAAAAACCCAGCACAAACGAAAGTGAAACTGATTTGCTCTTCAGAATTTCTGATACCCTGGTAAGGAAGCACTGACAGAGTCCGAGGTCGGGACCATCGTTTATTCATGACGAGAAGAGAGATTCTTGCGCTGAGAACTCCTCTATTTCTAATTCCCATTGGAATTTCTTCGGACAATCTTACCCGGATTTTATTCAGTCCTTGAGTATCAAGGGCAAGACACTTTTTTGGGGTTGTGATTTCTGAAAATTGTCGCGGGGGGAAATTAGGGGCTATTGCAATTGCTGTAGGATAGATTAGGTGCTAATCGTCACTTAACGATTTGAGACTTCAATGGCTTTAGCACTTTGCTACCATCCTGATTCGATATTTGCATGTGAGGAGGTGGTCCCTAATGAGTGGCAACTTGGACTACACCGAATGTTCGGCATAGTATACACCAGGAAAAAAATTCGTAATTCTCGCGGGCTGCGCGGAAAGGGGGTGCGCGCTGCGCAGCGCGGCCACTCCGAATAACTCCCTTTCGATGCGGTGAACAGGAGAGAGGAACAAGTAAATCAGTCACGTTGTTTGCCTTTACCCACTAATAGGTTTCACTTAAGTGGCTCTAGTACGTGACCAAAATGTACCAACCGTAAATATTTCAATTAAACTATTTTTAGGATGAATCCATTATTTATAAAAAATCTATGGAAAAGAGTAAAAACAATACGATCATATTACAGACCTATATAAATTATATTTATTATACTATGAGGTCATTATTTCTTGGAGAGGTCTGTGTGGTTTTATGACGAAACTCTACATGAATATATAATTCAATTGCTCTTACTTAAACGTCTATTCATTTATTAATCTGGCTTCCAATTAAAATTAATAAAATCAAAATTCGACTTGCTGCATACTGATATCATAAAACGAATAAGAATTTGATTTTTTATAAATAATAGTAGCAGTAGATTCACACGTCTCTGCACTCTCATCGATTTTATTTGAATTTTCTGGTTGAAAAAGCCTTTCTGAATATGTATTGATGACAGATATGACCTTATTTCTTCACTGTGTGTTTCGTCTCATGGTGCAATTCTATTGGTCGACATTTGGGTCGGAAAGATAATCCCTCGAAAACCACATGAGCTCCAAAATTATCTGGGATTTACCTCAAGGTTCCTTGCAGGCAAATCAAGTCATCAAGTTTTTCAGGAACGTCTTCAACTTGCAATAATTGACTTTTTTATTTATTTATGACAAATCTATCAGGAAGTCTCCAATAATTTTTAAATTCTTGTGGTATTATAAGTGAATAGTTCTTACTCACTTATCGTGTCAACAAAAAATCAGAGGCAAGATGGGGCCATAGGTATTTCGGGCCCAATCTCTGCAGCACATTTATAAGACAGGGCCATTATAATGGTTTCCTCGCTTCTCGTTGTCATTTTTTATTTCAATTGACCTTTTTCTTGGGTTATTTTGGCCCTTCTAGACAGAATCGGGGAAATTCCATCGTCTAGTACACATCTACAATCTACTGTACATTTGTAGACTTTTCTTCTGTCAAATATTTGAACAAAATGACACGATAGAATTATTTAATCGTCTGTACGAGGTCACTCTTACACTTTCTTGAATTTTCCGACATGAGGTCATCTGAGTTTTTCATGATATGAGTTAAAATTCAATCCCAGTTACAAGACCCGTTTTATTAAGTCCCTTTTTATCTTGAAAGTTTGAGAGAATCGGTTTTTATGCTGATTAATCATTATTTTTTCGATGAGCGCGTGAATTTCAATACTCATGAGGAAAATTATATGTAAAAAACAATAGAATTTTCACTAGACTGAAAATTCACGGAAATTATTCTTTGAATTTTCAATATTTTCGCCGCTTTGCAGTGCTTCATTAACGTTAACACAATTACGTAAAAAAAATAAATGAATCTTCAGGAATGAATTCTACGGAAATGTCATGGCACATCCTCGGTGTTAAAAATTTCAAATTTCTCTGTATAAAATTTCAAGTGTAATTTTGCACCAGTGTAGCGCAGGAAAACAAAACTTAAAAATAATCCTAATAAGACTCCACAAGCGAAGACTCACAAAATCCCAATAAAAATGCAATAGGCTCGAATAATAAAAGAGCTGTCTTTCTCTATGACTTTTTTGATGTCCGAGAATTTTCGAAAATTCGTGGAATGTGTTCCCATGTCTAATCTAATATAAAAAAAACGGATCAATTGAATGTTCTGTACTGATTCCTTGATACGAGATGAAAATCGCCCATAAAGATGAATCGAAAATGGTTGGAGGGAGGCTGGAGCAGCCCGAGGGATCCGCCCTCCAGGAATATCCGGGGAGACCGGAAAGTGAGCATTCGGGAAAGACCGAGTGTAAAGAAAAGCTTGGCATGATGGCCCTCCTAGCTCTTACTGTCCTCTGCTACCCTGTGCAATTTCTCAGCTTAGTGACGCGCTTCTATTGTCTGATCGTTAATTGCCCAGTTACTAATTAACGCTCGTTCATCACTCACCAAAGTCCGCCTCCTAAGTCCCCGATTGCCAGCTCTATGCAAATAGTAATGTCTCGAGAGGTCCGGAATTCTGTCACAGAAATGACGCGTCGCGTATCCACATCTACCAGGATATCATGTTGGCTCTGCATTCCATTAAAGTTAACATGGGGCTTATCAGGGTCCTCTTCACCTCCCTGACCGCCTGATTGTCAGCGCGTCTGCCGCATATGAGCACCGAATCCCTCCCACTGTACATCCACATTCCATATCTCAATGTTCCTCATGTTTGCGGCTTTGTTCGAGGCTAAATAACGATTCGCTGAATTACCCGGGATAGCGGATCCGCGGGGAACCGACGTGGTGCCCATTGGGAAAGGACGGCACTTTCAAGCCACTGACCAACCAGAGGAACATGAGGGGAAACCTCCACCAGAAACCTCACCCGCCACATCCAAAGAGGCGCAGATCACTGATTTTATTTTCTAAATTTTCGAATACAGTATTACAATTGTACACCCCATAATACTCCCCATAATACAATTGATAAATGTTCAAAAACGATGTTTTCTAATTTCATCATTATACAGACTACAAAAGTTAATATTCATAAGTTCCTAATCCACTAAATAAAGATGATAAATTAATGGAATTTGTCAATCTTTGAAAGAGGATTTCAACTTTAGAATGAAATGGCTCAAGCAGTGGATTTTATTGATTTTCTGGTCCTAATGACGTCGGAAGTCCTGAAAAAATGTCATAAATATGATGGAGCTTACTAACAATTGAATGAGACGCGTATAGATTGTTTTATTGGACTTTTACAGACTCTTATAGGCCCTTACAGGCCCTTAGATGTCGTATTATACTTTCTTATAACGGATTCGGAAGCTTAGGTCATGAGCTTTCAAACCATATTGGCATAATTCCAGTGAGCAGGAGAGCATGGTCCTGAGAGCAAGTCTTGATTGAATCCGAAATTAACAATTTTTTGGATTTAATAATATTTTCTATTAAAGCATTTAATCAAGCCAAAAAATGACTATATCGTCTTATGATGGTCGAATGTAACGAGAAATAATAGAAAATGGAAATTCCTTGTAATCTTTTTTTAACGATTATAATAATTATTATATACTATATAGTAATTATATATATGCGGGATTAGGGAGTGGTTATTTCCATGAAAAATCATCCAGTTTTTCAAGTAGTGCACTGAAAAATTGAAACATTTTAATTTTTCGCAGGTTCCAGAGGGCCTGCACCAGGTACGGGGTGCCCGACGTCGACCTCTTCCAAGCTGTGGACCTGATGGAGAGAAAGAATCTCGCCCAAGTCACCAACACCATCTTCGCGATTGGACGAGCCGTAAGATATTTTGTTCAAATAAATTTGCGTTTTTTCATTCGATTTTTCGCTGAAATAGTAAAATTTACAGTGCTACAAGCATCCGGAGTGGCGTGGCCCCTGGCTGGGTCCCAAACCTGCTGATGAGAACAAGAGAAACTTCTCTGAGGGTCAACTAAGAGCGGGAGAAGGTGTCATCGGTCTGCAGGCCGGTTCCAACAAGGGTGCCACCCAGGCTGGGCAAAGCTTCGGTGCCACAAGGAAAATTCTCCTGGGAAAATAATTTTATTGAATTTGGAGAATCCTGGAGTAAAATTGTTCGGTTCTTATAAATTGAGTAATAAAAAAAATCGATAAGTAAACCTTAATTGTTCGAGAAAGTTTATTTTTATGTAATGTTCGTTCTCGGGTGCCAAATTATCTTTTTTTTTAGAAATTATTTTTGATCTTTCAAGAATTTCAATCATTCACTATCAATTAATTCACTTGACGTAATTGATCGCAATTGTATAATAAATAAACAAAAAGTTTATTGCAAAAACCATTTTTTTCATCGACCAGGTGATGTCGCATGTCTTCACTCTGTAGATGATAATCAAATATCCAGAGACGGAAATTTTTTGAAAATTAAAAAAAAAATTCACCCTAGTCCCGAGAAAACGATCGAGGCCATTTTGGGGTGAAAATTACTTTTTTGAAAACGCGAATTTTTCGATTAACAAGTGGTTGATTTAATATTTAATTCCCTCGTACGCGATAATGAATCTTTCATCGACGTGGTATACGCGAAAACAAAGAAAAAAGTGTTCTGAAAAAATGAGTAGGAGTTTCACTTAAAATTCCTTTCACTTCAAAAATTGAGGCACGCTCATTTTTATTATAGCGAAGACAGGGACAAAATGGACATCTCAAGAAAAAAAACAATTTTTTCGCGAAAAGCTAATTAAATAATTAATGAAAAACATCTTCAAATGGCTCGGAATATAACCACGAGAAGGGACAAACTGTCGATGAAAATATTTTGTTGGACGGGTGGGGGCAAAACGGACACACTCAAAATTCATTTGAATATTCATTAGATATCGTAATTCTCCATATATTTCCTAATCAAAAAATATCAACCGTCGCGGCTCAATTCTCATTTATCCAAGCCCGATCTATATATCCACGTCTATATCCTACACTTCATTATTCATATAAGCGTTTAATTCTGTGTTTTTTTTATTATCAAAAAAAAAAAATGTGGAAATGAAAAAATTAAAAAATCGGGCGAATCGAAAAAATTCGCGATGTCCGCTTTTCCCTGAGTGTCCATTTCGCACCCACCGCCTCTAGTATAGTTGAAATTCGGTATCGAATAATTATCGTAGTTCCGAATGGTATTGCGTACTTGAAGTCAGGAGTCAAGAGTATATGAAATAATTTTTTTGCACGAACGTAGGCGAACGACCGTGGGGCAGGCCAGTTCTCGGGGACCCCCTGTCACAGGAGAGCATATCCGATGTGTGAAACTCGCCAAGTTTGTTGATGGTGTATATACAACGTTGATAGATAATAAGAGAACGGCTTAACTGAACTGACTCTTTACTGCTCATGGGCCCCTCGTGAAAGGGGAGCGCTTCGGAGTGGCCGCTCCGCGCATCATTGCGCCCCACTATTTTTCAACGCCTACGCGCTACCCACCAAAGCCTCTTACGCATGTGTCTCGAGTGGGAATGGATGAGCAATCTTCGAAAAGAAAAGCCAAAAAAGATCCATCAGTGAAAAATCGATTTTTTCAAAACTATCAACGCTGAGAATCGATTACTCGAAATCAAAACATCGATTATTAAAAATGTTTTTTTCATCTTTCGAATGGGCATGAGCGATCTTAAAAAAAATTAATTGATAAAAAATGGATTTTTTCAAAATTACCAATGCTGAGAATCGATCACTCGAAATCAAAACATCGATTATTAAAAATCTTTTATTCATCTTTCGAATGGGCATGAGCGATCTTAAAAAAAATTAATTGATAAAAAATGGATTTTTTCAAAATTACTAATGCTGAGAATCGATTACTCGAAATCAAAACATCGATTATTAAAAATGTTTTATTCATCTTTCGAATGGGCATGAGCGATCTTAAAAAGAATTAATTAATAAAAAATGGATTTTTTCAAAATTACCATTGCTGAGAATCGATTACTCGAAATCAAAACATCGATTATTAAAAGTTTTCTATGCATCTTTCGAATGGACATGCGCGATCTTAAAAAAAAAAAAATAAATAAAAAATCGATTTTTTCAGAACTACCAATACTGAAAATGGATTACTCGAAATCAAAACATGGATTATTGAAAATTTTATATGCATCTTTCGAACAGACATGCGCGATCTTAAAAAAAAAATTAATGAATAAAAAATCGATTTTTTGAAAACCATCGATTCTGAGGATGAGTTAATAGAAGTAAAAATATGGATGTTAAAACGTCGTCTGCATGTCTGGCATGTAGCGATACGCAATGCTTGAGGGAAAATCGATTCGTAAAAAATCGATTTTTTTAAACCCATGTATGCTAAGAATCGATTATTCTAAATAAAAATATGGATTAAAAATTAAAAAATGTCATATGCCCATTTCGAACATGATTAAAAAAAAAATCAATAAATAAAAAACGATTTTTTTTTCAATCATGGATCATAAAACATGAAGCAGAGATGGAAAATGTTAAAAAAAAAAAGATTTTTTAGGAAAATTGCAGTTTTTAAAGGAGATATAGAAATTTTGCGAATAATCTTCCTTATAGAGGAACAGACCTGCAAAATGCCGACATAGAAAGTTGCACATTTACAAGAATGAATATTCTCAAAAAATTTAAAACTCCCTCGTGTTTTCTTTCGCTCTGCTTAGATAACAATTCAATGAAACTTTGAGGCGCATATTTTCCTCAATGATGGTTAGCCTCTCACCAGATAGAGTGGGGCAAAGAGAGGTAGCTCGTTTTTCAAGATAACAAAGAGAGCCGACTAGCCAAGACATTATCAGTATGCGTCAGTAAGTCCCGAGTACTGGTATATACAACATTGTTCTTTTCACGATGATGACATCGATGGAAAAAAAATACGTCACCGAGTTAATAGACTGTTTCAACAGCGATCGGTGCCACGAAATTCTGGGAGAATTAATAAGTTTTATCAGATAAAAATTCCGCTGATATGTGATTGGAGTGGGCTGATAACGTATCAAAACCCTGACGAAGAAAGACCGAGAAGACGGTTTTGATAAATAAATTATAAATAGACATTTTTCGTGAGCAATGTCGCGATCCCATGAATATACTCTGGTTGACGGGGCCCCGAGCACCAGGTAATACGATTTTCATCGGAAGGACGATTTTTTCATTGACTTTACTGAGGCTTTTTCAAGCATGGAGTCTGGCAGTCAGGGGAACCTCATATCGAGAGGGAAAATTGATAAGTACAGCTCGACTTATGTTCCCCACAATCGACTGTCTAGGTATACTACAGCACTTGTCAATCTCATTCCTGTGAGATTTAAAAGGTAATAAAAATAATTTCAAATAAATACTATTATTAATAAAAAATATGGGGTAAGTAGATCCGTAACAAATTCATCTATGAGTGCAGTGAAATAAAAAAGTCTGATAAAAAAAGGTGAACGTTGAAGTGAAGACGAAGATTTTGCTTCGAAAAGTCTAATTTTTTTAATGTTTGAGTCTAATTTTTTTGGAGTAATTCAATTTTATCGACTGACTTTAATGTATTAGTTATGGATTTTCATTGTAGAATGGAGAAGAACATGAAGATTAGTGTCATTATAGGCGCGCAAAACAACGGGAGAGTGTCATGAAACTTCCGAGACGGGTAGTTTGTGGATATATAAAAATATGTATAACGAAACATTCAGATTGTTATAATTTGTTCAGATTCTTTTATCATATACTATGAGTTCTTTCACCGATTTGATGCTTTTTAGTGTTGAAATATTAATCAAAAAATGATTGCCCCTTGATTTCTGAAAGACTAATAATTTGATCCGGTCTCATTTAGTCTCTTCGCCTTTAAAGTTTTCTTTTTACAATTTGTGGTGGGAAGGAAAACGGTTTCCATCGACCGACCGAATGTTCCTCTTCGAGATAACGTTATACTATCCAGATTTTTTTGTTTTCAATGTTGACACCCAGCACACGAGGAAAGATTTAGGTGTTGCAATAGATTGTTTGGTGACTGGTGTGCCGCGATGATAATTTCGCGGGATTGACCGAAGATAACCGATAATCCTTGGAATAGTCTGTGTACTGGAGTTACAGGAACAATTTTTGCCGATCCTCTTAAAAATATTCGGCAACTAATGCGAATCAACGGTAATTTGTCAGATTATTATTTTATGAGTACCTAACGAATTAGTACGCATAGTAATACCACAAAATTTCTTACTATTTCGATAATTTCAACGGCAACTAAATGGGATTTATCGATTTAATCACTTGGTTGAGAGTCATTAATTATGACCAATTGCGGCTCGATCGTCAGATATTTATTGGTTATCATAGATTCAATTATGGATCGATCTTAAATCTACCAGCCATTATTGACCAATGACCAGGCTATGGATATTTGATGGTTGATCAATTCCTGGCCAGCTATGATCGGCGATATGTCCCCACGAAAAACAGAACAGACCATCTAGCATTGTTTTATCGAATTCTACAAGCTGGTTGTCTTATGAAAATATATGTATAGATATAAAAGTATAGTTGAGTCGGAACTGCTAACTCGTAAAAACCGGAAACTCACAAATTGAGGGAAGATACTGAAAATCGGCAAAATGTAATTTTTTCGCCAACTTCAGGGGTAATATTTTCATTAATACAAATAAAAGCTGAAATAAAAATATCATTGGAAAGGTCATCTACGAATTATTAAGAATCCGCGGATTGTTTTCAACTTTCGTCATGGTTTCTTTATTAAAAAATTATAAAGTGATAGTGATTTCTAAATTTGATCGAGCATGTTTGAATCGAATTCAATAATTAATTCTGTAACAGTTTCTTTGTAGTAATAAATCAGAAGATGGAGAAATAAATACTGAAGGCAATGAAAGTTTTTCATTATTTTTTATTTGTTCATCGTATTTATATATATATATATAAATATAATGTATCATATATACCAGAGTTGCCAGACGGCTTTTTTTTTTCACAATGTTTTTTTGATTTTTTACAGTCACACTTAATCCAGTGAAGTGAATCACGCGAAGAATTGACACTTGTCGAACCAACTAGTTGATATTTCGTTCAGAGCTTATTATGATCTACCCTACTCTGGAAAAATCAATAAAAATTTTTGACAAAATTCGCCGTCTGGTCACCCTGATATATACCTTCACATATGATACGTGTGTTTTTTTCCAATGATTTTTAATGAAATTCTTGACATCATTTTTGTTAGTGACACTAAACAAATGTAGTACTCACGTTTTTCACTATTTCCCTAGAAAACTATTTAAACTATTTAGACTAGAAGAGTTTTTGTTGGTGAAGTAATGTCTTCAGCATTTCTAATAGTTGGTATCCAGAGTTCCAGGTTCAGAAATTCCGGTGGACAAAATCGGTCTGTTCTCAAGTGTATCGTTCACCTGGCTCACTGAATATGTTTCCGCGGGGTACAAGAAGAAAATGGGCGAGAAACCGCTGCCCACGATAGCCTTGCAAGAATCCTGTCAAATAAATGGGCCGAGGTGCGTAGATGATTCCATTGAAATGAGAAGTTATTCCATCTCACAGCCCTTGTTGATCATGATTGTGAATTCTTAGAATAGATTCTCTGTGGCATAATGATATTGTCAAGAGAGGACAGGCTGGGGCTTCGGTTCCCAGCATCGCTTGGCAGTTCGTGAAGACCAGAGTCCTCATCAGCTCGTTGATTCACCTCCTGGGGATGATCATCGCTCTTTGCAGTCCTGTAAGCGAAACAATTATTGCTGTATTCTAATTTATTCTTTGTATTTTTTATCTTGAATTACTATATGATTATAATTTATTAGATATTGGTGTATTTTTTAAAGATTCTCGTTTTTTGAAAATAGTAAACAGTCGAATATGAAAATCTAGTCATTTGAAACTTCAGAGTTAAAAAGGAATGAGTTATATATCCTCTCAAATGGAAAAATCGTTGGATTTTCCGTAAAAAAAAAATTGATATGAAGGCCCGGATGTACTATCTATTGAATGTCTTTGGTTTGAACTTTATCGTGTTAATATAAAAAAAAATAATCGAATCCCCTCATTTTTTCAAAAATTTTCAATTATAAAAACAATTCATCACTATCATCACTAGATCCTAGTACTCCAGAGGATTATTACCTCCACGGAGGATCGTCTTCAGATGTCAACTGAATATCGAGCGACAAACTCCTCCCCTGTCTTAAATACGACCCGTTCAATCGAATTAACGGATAACTTAGACCGAATAATCATGATGGACAACGTGATAATCTCCACTCACGTGATCCTCCTGATTTCCGCGGAGATGCTCTCCTATTTTCTGATCGCTTGGAGTGCAGCGATGAACTTGAGGACAGCAACGAGACTGCGATCAGCGTGTCTTTCTCTGGCATACAAAAAGCTTGTGCGTTCCTCAATGCGATGTGCAGCACCAGTGCACCAGACGCTGACGTACTTCGTACCAGATAGCAACACTCTATATGAGCTCATTGCCAATGGGCCCCTGATATTCTCCGGGCCCTTAATCCTCCTCCTCTCATCGCTCTTCATCTGGAGCTCCATGGGGCACTGGGCCCTCATCGGAATAGTCGTCCTCATTGTCCTGTACTTAGGTCTCATCCTCTCGGCATACTTGACCAAGGTCTTTGCCACGAGAGCCATGAAGTTCTCCTTACGCAGGATCAGTCTTCTCCAGGAGTTCATCGAGAAGATCTGCATTGCAAAAATCGGAAAATATGATAAGCGATTTGTTGCTGGCATCAGGGGAATCAGGGATATGGAGCTCAGGGAGATGAAGCTGGGGGCTTTGAGTGAAGGCTGGAGTCTCTGCATGGTACATGTGATTCCTATCGTCACTGTCAGTGCTATGACCATGGCTTACTTGATAACTCATAATTTCATCGTCTCAGCAAATGTAAGAATTTTTTTCATTTTTCATTTAATTATCCGCTTGCAAAACAAGATGAAAAGTCTTCCTCAAATATCAAGTTTCTTTCCGGTGCTTACCCTGGGAAAAAGATGATGGATATTACGTCAGCAAATTAAATTCAATAAATAATATATTAACAACGCTATTTTTTGACTGACAAAAAAGTATTCTGTGATTTCGAAATTTTACGCATTGGAACGTGGAAATAATTGATCAGTTCCCCGAAAATTTTTGAGTGTTCAAGAATTTTTAGTTTATATTCGAATCTAAGGAATACTAAGTCAAGAAATTCCTGTAGTTTTTTTTTCTAGCCTCACACGTATGGGGCGTTAATCATCTGACACATAAAATCTAAATATTAAAAGAATCTTACATATCTAAAAAAATGACCCATAATTTATGTTTTTTTCTTTAATTAAATTCAATTGATAAATACAACATTTTTTTTTCTTATTCTAGACGAATCATTATTTTATTAAAATAGATTATATTATATTATATTATATTATAGTATGATCTGCATAATTTAGCTATGCAACGAAAAAGCTGACGAAAACGGTACGTCCTTTTTTTTTAAACGGATAGTGAATCGAGAAAAATTCATCTGCCACTGAGAGAAAAAATTCTCTAGTTTTCTCGGGAATTTTCACTATCGGAAAATTTGGTATATAGTGAATCGAAAATTTTTCGCAAGAGAGATAATATGTAAAATTTCCAGAGTAGATTAAATTAGAGATCTTTTCCAGTACATCCCATGTCTCGTCCTGATTCTCTTGAACTTGAAGCACTGCGTGCGGAGTAGTTGGCTCGCGATGAGCAGCATCTCACGTGGTGTGGCCTCTCTGAACAAACTCAAGGTGAGTCGAAGAATCCCCTGGCGTGAAAAAATTGAATGGAAAAATCCAGAAAACTCCGTAATTCTATAGTCTTTCTTCTAAACTTTTGAGTAAAATTCGCAAAAAACTGATAGAAAGTTGGACAGAAGCTATGAAACCAACGCAAACTGTAAATAAATCCAAATAATTTTTTACATTAATTTAGAACAAAGATAGATTATCAGTAGAATTAGCAAAATTTGCTGGGGGTTTCTAAGAATTTTCTTCGTGCCAGGGAGAATCATCCTCATGTCATGTTCTAGGCAATCCTCATCTTGAAAGATAACAATCGCTTCACGGACAAACCTATCGACAGAAACTTGGCGATCGCGATAAACGGAGGTCACTTTTCCTGGGCGCAAGACAACTCCACGGTTGACAGGATAATCCGGAGTTCCTCTCAGTACATCCTGGAGGAAACTCCCACACCTCTCGCGAATTTGTCTCCACCACACACTTTGGTGGATATAAATTTTTATGCACCCAAGGGAAGACTCATCGGGGTGTGCGGCTCATCGAAGAGTGGAAAGACTTCTCTCCTTCTGGGTATCATGGGACAGCTAAACCACAGTGGAGGACACGTCGCGATTGATGGGAGTTGTTCTTACGTACCAGAGGAGGCGAGTCTTCTCGAGGGAACTCTCAAGGAGAATATCACCTTGGGGGAGGCCTTTGACGCCTCCTGGTACTACAAGACCATTCAAGCCTGTAAACTCAATGATGATCTCAATTCTCTCCCTGGGAATGACGACACCGATGTTTCCACTGTGGAGTTGACCAACTCCCAAAGACAGAAGATCGCCCTTGCCAGGGCACTTTACAATAATAAGGATATCAACTTATTGGATAATCCGTTGAGAAATGTCGAGAAGACTGAGGGCTTGGATATTTTCGAGAAGGCGATTATCCAGATACTGGGGGAAAAGTGTGTAATTCTAGTCTCAGATAAGATCCAAGTAAGTTGAATTTCTTGATAGACTTATTATATCCATAACATTAATTCCTTTATCGTTTTTTCCCCCGCATGGAAGCATTCTACTTCATATTCCACTGGATATTCTCCTTCAATTAACTTCACCGTTTGACTAATAGTTTCGATGCTATCCTGTTAGAATCAAGAGATAATCACCATAGCAAATGATTCCTGTCTGATTTTTTAAAGCTCATTCTAATAATTTATCAAATAAATAAAAATTTATCTTGAAGGTCTTCTCTCATCGTAGATTTGTTTTCAGTTTTTAGAGAGATGTGATACAATTTACGTAATGAAAGGAGGAAAAATAATTGAGCAAGGCACTCATAATGAGCTTTTACAATGGAACAGTGAATACACGGATTTGATCAAGAGCTTCAGCAGAAGGCAGGAGGGAGCCGTCACCAGGGAAGTAGTAGAGCCCGTCAGGAAGAAGCATTTGTCCATTGGGCCAAGTATTTCCGGTAGTATCCTTGATATAGCGACCCAGATGGAGGGAGATTCTGATGAGGGAGGAGTGCACGATCGACTGAAATCAGAGGTGAAGTACAAGGCGTACATTAATGGGGACAGACGATGGTGGCACGGAGCAATCGTCTGTACTCTCTCGTTACTTTATTCAGTTCCCATCGCTGCTGCTCCTCTAGTCTTCACCTATATCGCTCAGGTAATTCCTTGTACAATCGATTTTTCATCGAGAATTATTTTTACTTCTGAATGGAAACCGTTTAATTGCCGAAATTCAAGTTGTGTGATTTTTGGACTATATCCACACATTGCACTCTAAGACACCGAAAAATTCAGTTTTTGACGCATCAAATTTTTCAAATTTCATTTCTGATTTGCAGCTAATGTATCTGTCTCATTATATCATTTTTTTCTTATATACAACTATTGTTAAGCTTTAGTAGTTGATATTAACTCAAATTTAATTCGTGTATGATTTTTCCCTGCGAATGAAAGCTTCGGAATCGACCAAATTTAAGTTTCACATTTTTTATCGCATATCAACTCAGTATAACCCGTTACCGAATCATTCAATTTGATTAAATAAAAATGAAGGCTTATTTAAAGTAGATAATATATATTATTTTTCTCTTGTCATTGTTTGCAGAAAATGCTGACGAATACCACGACGATCGCAGTAATCCTTGCGTTCATGGTCGGATTCATCATTTTTTGGGGTTTAATTCTCATGATTATTTACAATGAGGTAATTAGGATTCAATTCAGTACCGAAAGTAAATTAAGAATTTTATAGCTCTATTTAATGTCGATTTGTCTAGAAAATTATAGAGAATTTAATCGGTGACAACAGACATATTTTCATGTTTCCACATCAATTCACCAGTTCTTGAGAGATTCATCTAAAATAATTTATTTTCATTGTCTAGAATAGTTATTTTGAATGTAATAATAATAATGTTATAGTGCACAAATATATTTTATTATTGCTACGCGAAGTTAATTCTAGAATGAAGAGAAATGCGAAATGTTCCAGGAAGTGTTCACCTCAGCTAGTAACATCCACGAGCTCTGGCTGCAAAAAATCTATCGAGCTCAAATCTCGATATTCTCGACAGTCTCGTCAATAATCCTCCTCAACATATTTAGTTTAAACCTCCAGGAGGTGGATTACACTCTACCGAGACTCAAAATAACAGCACTGATGCACATTGGGATCAGTCTCTTCAGTGTGATCACTCTGGGGATTCTATCCCCCTGGCTCTTGCTGCCCACCTTGACTTTTTTATCTGCAGCATTGGCATACAATCTCTACATCAGGTGAGCGACTGAAAGGAAATGCTGTAAAAAATACTAATAAGGAATTTAAAATAGAAAATAAGTTTCATCGCTCACTTCTCAATTATTCGAAAACCACAGGCAAGAAATTTATAGAAATTTAGTAACTAAGAGGTAGAGTGTAATAAGCACAGCTTTTAAAGAATAACTGTCTAAATCAAAGAGACAGTAAAATTTTTTTCAGACAAATATTGGAAGAGGAAAATAAGAGATATAAAAAAGTTTCGGAATATCTCTTGAATTCACGGATATAATTAGACCTATTAGGAAATAATTGAATCTTCTTGATGTTATTTATGTCTACCATTTGACCTGATTGTCAATTGATCTTAGGGGACTTCTTCAGACCCTCTACGAAATGAAAATTCACTCAGTAACGCCAATCTACACTCACACAATAAACGCAGTGAGCGAGAGAGCAGTAGTTCAAGCTTTTCGAAAAGAGAGAGAATTATCGAAAAAATTTTATAAACACTGCAACACCGGTCTAGCCTACGACTTTCTCCTAGACGCGCTGAAGCTCTGGGTCGAGTTTAGGATAAAATTCATCTCAGCACTGGCCCTAGCTATCATCGTAACTATCTGTGCATCGGTCAGTGCGATAAACGTTCGGTACGAAGTCCTGGGGCTGGCGTTCATTTGTACCCTGCAGTTGACCCAGAGTGTTGTCCACCTAACAGGAGCTCTTATGGGTGGGTACGGAAGTCTCCTGACTGTTGGCGTCGTCGACAAGTACATTATGGTAAAAATTATTCAAGTCAATAGAAAAAACAATTCAGTAGCCAAGAGGTAGGGCAGTAATTCAATTTAGCTAGGAGGTGAATTTTCCAGGAATATCTCCGAATTTATCAGATTATGATTATGATCTTTTTTTGAAAGCTACAATGAGAATCACGAAGAAGTTTTCTATTAAATTTCAGCTATCTCTGCTAGATTCAAAGATAGAGTTATGGTCTTCACAATTATCATTAAATATTGCTTCTCGCATTAAAAAATGTTTATTTTTTAATAGAAAGTCCAAATCTTCCTGTGTTTTTACGTTTTTACAAATTGATCATTTACAAGACAAATTATTAATTACCAAAATGATTGAACTTTGCTTATAGTTTTCTACTTGCCATTGAATTGTTTTTAATTCCTTTTTAAAAAACACGAAAAAAGCCATGTGAAGAATTTATTTAATCTGCAATAACCGACTCCCTCTCCTTTCATTTCCTGGTAGAATATTCCTCAAGAGAAAACAACAGGCGATAACATTCGGAAGCAGTGGCCAGCCGTCCCTGATATTCACTTCCAGGACGTTCTCTTGAGTACCAACTCTCCGATAGATCAGGAGCCCTTGAATTTTTCAATCTACGCAGGCGAGAAAGTAGCATTTCGAGGTCTTGACCCTGAACTGCAGCGAGATCTTATCAAATGTCTGCTGCAAATCGACGACGTCTTTGCTGGAAACATCATCGTCGGCTCTCTCAATATATTCGATATCTGTATCGAAGTTCTGCGAGATCACGTCGACTTCATTCCTAGGGTTCCAGTTCTGTTCGATGGAACTATTAGGTACAATCTAGATCCGATTCGTCGGTTCAGCGAGAAGACTATTGTAAAGACTCTCCAGAAAATGTTGTTGTGGGAGAAAATAGCCAAATTGGATGAACGACTCGATAATGACGCGAGTAATATATTCAGTCTTGTGGAGAAGAAACTCATGCTCTTGGCGAGGATCTACTTGAAATCAATGGCTTTCAGCAAGCATGTGAGTTCTATTTTCTTTTTTTTGTAATATCGTAATATCGGACCGACTCAACTTTCGACCTCGTAGCTTTTAGTTTGTGAGTTTCAGTGGTGAAAGGATTTTTTTTGCGGAAATCTAAATATATGTTGTAAAATAGATAACTTTTTTCATAAAAAGAATCTTTAAGAACACTTCAGATTTTTTTAATTCATAGAAAACACTTTGGGCATCAGCAGAGCTGAAAATTTGTTGAGGGATCTATTCTCCCGCATTACTAATATTTTTTTTAATATGATATTTTTAAACCAAAATTATAGAAAAATTATCTAATAACATTTTGATACAATACAAATAATTTGATAAAATAGAAAAAAATGTGAATTGTAAATGATGAATATTAAAATATTCAAAGCGATACAAGTATTTTTACGTGGTTTCGTTCTTTTTTTAGATAAATTCATTTCAAAATTTAAATAATGATTAAAATAATTTATAAAAATTCCATTAACAATCTCTAAATACTTTGCAGATGAGGAAAAAAATATTTTCATACATCTGGAGTGGTCAACCACAATGAAAATCAGTTTCCCCAATGATTGTATTGATTTCAGATAATAATAATTGAAGAATTGGACGAAGACGCTGAGATGCTGGACGGTTTATTCCAGGACGTCCTGAAGGACTTCACTGTAATAGTGCTCTTTAGTAAATCCAGCTGGAACGCTCAACGAGTCATCAAGCTGAACGAACACAAAGTAATTTCAGTAAAGCCTAAGACAAAGTCAAAATAAAAAGCTGAAAAAATTCTGTTCCAGATGATGAAAATAACAACAGGCTCGTCATTATCTCCAGTCGCCACGGATTTATTATCAGTACCAAAAAATAATGAGACAAGCATCTAGCTGTCCTGAAATATATAATCACATTTAACAGGTCAATTCCCTACTCGGTCACTAAAAATAGTCCCATTGGAATGTACAGAGAAAAAAATATCCCGAGAATCAAACTTGCTTGACCTCTCCACTGCAGTGAGGACAACAGGCCATGGCCTCCGAACCCTTTGCCCTGAACATCTGCCCCCCGACAGCCACAGCAGCCCCCATGACAGCACTGCAGGCAACATCAGGCCTAGCCATCATGAGATTAGGATTCATGAGCAGCTCCTCAGCCTTTTTCTCTCCAGCAGTCGTCATCTCCAGCCCAGTGATGCCTACCTCCTTCCTCAGCCTGTATTCTTCGACTCCACTAAGTAGCTGCACCTTCAGGATCTCTGCGACTTGGCAACAGCCATCTGCCAAGTCGATGACGTTGGAACTCGGGAGCTCGTGCCTCTTGAAGCTCATTGTCCCCACAGGGTCGAAATTCTCTCTCAGAAGGCAGAGGGTTTTGTATGTTCTCAAGGACGTCTCCCTCACTCTACTCCTCTCCTCCAGGAGCCTCTTGATGCTCTCCTGTAGATCTGTTGTCCTCTGGGACAGTCCAGCTTTCCACCTGGCTAGCTCCTCCACCATCAGGCTACTGGCCAGGAACTTACTCCTCCAGACTTCACACTGTCCTGCCAGCCACTCTGTCTGCTCTTGATGAGTACTCAAATGCTGAGCTGAGTTCAGGAGAGCCCTTGCTAGCTGCAATTTGTCCTCCGTCAGCAAGTGCACCCTTGTCTCCAAGTCTTCTCCAACCGCTGCCACCTAGAATTACATCGAGATTTGTAATTTTCTATTGTCAAATTGGTTATTGTATCTCATTACTCGCATTTAAGGATTTTTAAATACAGCCGGCTGTGATTCAACTCATAATTCAAGTCTTTCTGAATAGCTCTGCACGAGTTTGGAAAGTACAGTAAATTAAATTAAATTTTTTAATATTGGAGTTGAAAACCGATAAGCAATCCAAAAATATACTGAATATAAAAACCAAATATTAATCGGTGTTTGTTCAGTTGAATCGATCCTTATTAAAAAAAAATAAAAAAGTATTCCGGAAATCAAATTTTCCTCAAAGATCTCTCAAATCACTCCTTACAAATTATTCCAGCGATCTACACCATGGAAACCTAAGAACTATCAAAATTTCATTATTATTATTATAACAAAAATAGAATAAGCTGTTACAAACCAGGAGATTCTTCAGTTCGCCGTTCACCTGTGCCTGGAACTTGAGCTGATTCTCAAGCTGGGTGTTCTCATCCCTGAGGTTTTTCAGCTCGAGTTCGTATGCTTTTTTCTCAAGCTGCCACTCCTTGAGCTCGACTTCTTCCTCAGTCTGTGGTCTCTCGTACTTGGTCTCATTCTTCTCCATCTCGATAGACTTGTGGATAGAGACCTGGGCGACCATTTCATTGATATCTAGATTGTTTCGAGTCCCTTTCTTCTTCTTCTGGACAGGAATTATGGGATTGACAGCAGCTTTGTAAGGCTCATAAGGGACGAACTTGGGTTCCTTGCACTTCAAGGTATGCAGGAGCTTTTCCTTCCTGTGGATGACATTCCTCGGGGTGAGATTGACTATTGTGCCAGTGGGGGTGACTGGTGGAAGGCAGGAAGACTGTTTGAGGTTCGTTGGATGATAGATGAGGGTATCCCTGAGAGTTTTTTTGGTTTCCAGTTTTGGAGGGGTATTCTCCATACCGTCGCCCTGGGTGCGACCTGGAACTGCCATCGATTGCACTGCGAATGAGGAAAATGTTGAGTTTGTTGTTGGAACAGCGATAAGATGTGTTGTTACCTGTTGATTGGCTGGTGGTGCTGGTGACACTGGATTTTCTTGAGGCACTGAACGTCCCTGCGGGAGGGTCTGAGGATTTCATTTCGCACCTAGGAGACTCCATCGTTGGGTAAACTTTGGAACACTTATGGTAATTGACGGTCGTGAGTGAGAATGGACTCAATGTGGAGCACCAATTGACACTAAATCAACACACCTGAATCACAAGTCACAACACCCGGGACTAGCCTCAACTAATGTCCACGTGGTGTGCTAGCATCGATATTTTTCAATAAGGTATGATGCAATGTTAACATAAAACGCGCAGAATTCCTCCCCAGGTATTGTCAAGCCAAAAACAGGGGACAAGTTCTCTCAGGCTGCACAAGACAGCGTGGCGGTCACTATCACCTTCCCCTCATCTCCATGTCATCCCCACTCTGCAGCTGTTCGGCACTGGTGGGACTATTAAAAAAATGATAATTTAAAATAGCATGAAAAAATGTAAAATATATTTTTAAAAATGTCAACTTCCCGGGTAAAAAAAA